CCAAGGACCGGTGAGGCCCGGGGCCCGCCCGGTGAACTTCTAGGTCGGAGGTGGGCGGAGGCGGAGTCGAGATTGGAAGGGAGCGCTGGCAGGGGAACCGAATTCATTCACTGGAGGCTGTACTACCGGAGGGGTTGAAAAAACAAACACCAAAACATTTGACTTAGTCATCAGCATGTAAAGAAATGTCACACAAGTGTGTGGAGTTTTTAACTTAAAAGTTTCCCACAAAGTAAAAGCAGCTGGTACTGAATGGTGCAGAGTCTACCGACTTCTTTGAGCAGATTTTGGGAGCCATGGCAGGTTCTTGAACAGAAGAGGATGTGATCTATCAGAAATTTGTGTTTTGTTTTGTTTTTTGCTAATCCTCACCCAGGGATATTTTCCCATTTATTTTTAGAGAGAATGGAAGGGAAGGGGGAGACACAGAGGAACATCAATGTGAGAGACATATCGACTGGTTTCCTCCCTCAGGTGCCCCAATGGGGCTCCAGCCTGCAACCAAGATATGTGCCCTTGACTTTGGCTGGAATTGAACCCAGGACCTGTTAGTCCGAGGGCCAATCCTCTATCCACTGAGCCAAATCAGCTACAGCTACCAGAAGGTTTTTGGTTTTTTTTAAATATATTTTTATTGATTTCAGAGAGGGAGAGGGAGGAATAGAAACATCAATGAGAGAGAAGCATTGATTGGCTGCCTCCTGCACGCCCCCTACTGGGGATCAAGCCCACAACCCGGGCATGTGCCCTTAACCAGAATTGAACCCGGGACCCTTCAGTCTGCAGGCCCATGCTCTATCCACTGAGCCAAACCAGCTAGGACTATCAGAAGTTTTTGAAGAGTCCCTCTAGCACCTGAGAATTGAAAGGGATGAGACAAGTGCACAGGGGAGATACTGGGGCCCAGGTGAGAAACAATTCAGAGCTGGATGGATTAATTCATCTTTACTAAGCCACCTACTATGTGCCAGACACTGTGCTGGGTATTAGGGCACATCTACACAGCTCTGCCCTTAGGCAGACACATCACTAGGTAGTTACAACATGGGATGATCAGAGGTTGTGATGGAGGTGCACACATGGTTCTGAGGGGATCCAGAGGGAATGCTTCCTAGAGGAAGAGCCAACTAAGCTGAACAACAAATAGGAAAAGATGTAGGGAAAGAGGTAACTGCAGGAAGAGCTAGGAGGAGACATGAGTTTATTCAGGCTGGGTGGCTTAAACAATAGACATTTATCACTGTTCTGGAGGCTGCAAAGTCCAAGATCAAAGTACCGGCAAATTCAGTTCCTGGTGAGGACTTCTTGGTCATCTCATTGTGTCCTCACAGAGAGGGAGAAGGCGAGGGAGAGAGCTGTCTGGTCTCTCTCCTTATAAGAGCACTAATTCCATCACGAGGATCCTACCCTCATGACCTCATCTAACCTTAGCTTCCAAAGGCCCCCACCTTCAAATATCACACTGGAATGTAGGGATTCAACTTATGAACTTGGGAAGGACATAACGGTTCAGTCCTTAAGGGGAGGCCGTGAGGCAGTGGTGAGGAATATGGCCTTTATCCTGATGGTGGGGAGCCTGAGATCAGAAGGGAGAGGAGCATCTGCTCTCTGGTCCTTCAGTACTGTTACTACCGAGTTCTGTCTTCCTGCCAGCGAGATCGCCGCTCTGCAGGAGCAGCTGCTGACCTCCGAGGCCACTGTCCACAGCCTGCAGGCGGCCGTGCACCAGAGGGACAAGCTCATCAGGCAGCTGCAGCCCCGGGCCGAGCTGCTGCAGGACATATGCCGCCAGCGACCACCCCTGGCTGGGCTGCTGGCAGCCCTTGCTGAGGCCGAGCGCCTGGGTCCCCTACCAGCCAGTGACCCTGGCCACCCACTCTCTGGTGCACCCAGTTTGCTCCTTGCCAACAACACTGAGGAGGAAGGGGACAGGGACCACCTCCAGCCAGCAGTGTTTGGGACCACTGTGTGAGTCCCAGAGCACAGATTCCAGAATGGAGACAGAGGGTGCCTGTGGAGACTTTTCCACTGCTGTGGGGGTACTTAAGGGTGGGGGTGTCACCAGTGTCCCAGGGGGAACCCCATGGCAGAGCCATAGTACTTTCTAAGCATCAGACCTGCTAAAAAGTCAAATGGTCAGCCTGCAGGCAAATGAAAATGTTTAGCCCAAATTTTTTTAAAAACAAAACCTTGAATCAATTATCCTTATTGAAAAATTGGCAACATTTACACACAAAAACCTGGATTTCTGGCTTTAGACTTGCCCATGCCTGCCTGGAACTGAACCCAGAATACCCTCTTTAATTAGCTCCTTCACCTCTCTTAGGGCCAGATGTCCAGGCCCTGAAGCATGAGTTTGAGACCTCTGGTGGAGGCAGATGGCATCAAGTTCCAGGTTATTAGACTGTTTCTTCTCCCCTTTTCCCTGTCCAGATTTTCTTTTATCCTGAAGCATCCTTCATCCCAGGATAGAGCTTTTTCTTACTCCATCTCAAACCAGAATTATTTTTATTATTTTCCAACTCAAGGACATACCTATTGATGTTCTAGAGAGAGGAGAAGGGAGACAGCAAAATACCAATGTGAGAGAAAAACATCAATCGGTTTTCCCGTACACACCCTGACTGGGGATCGAACCCACAACCTAGGTATGTGCTGAGGGGAATTAAACCCGCAACTTTTTGGTGCATGGGACAATGCTCTAGTCGAGCCACATGGCCCCCAGACTAGAATTAAGAGCTTCACGCTTCATGCTATTTTGTATTAATTATTTTGAAGACAGATCCTAGACACCCCACCCCCCCGCCCCCAACTCTGTCCTTCCCTCAACCTTTAACTCAGAAGGCAGTGCGTGTAGGGCTTGTGCGATGCTGGCAGCCAGGCTGTGCTGTCCTAGAAAACTCAGGCCTCCCTTAACCTTTTCTTGATAACGTGCTGCCTCAAGGCCTTTACACTGGCTGCTCCCTCTGCCTAGAATGCTCTTCCCCCAGGTGTCACATGACAGGTTCCTTGTCACTTAGGTCTTTACTCAAATTTCACCTCCTCAGAAAGGCCTTCCCTGACTACCTGAAGTCATTCCTCCCCACCCCCTGCCATTACCATTGCATTTCTTTTTTCTTTAAAAATATATTTTTATTGATTTCAGAGAGGAAGGAAGAGGGAGAGGAGAGAGAGAAACATCAATGATGAGAGAATCATTGATTGGCTGCCTCATGCACACCCCCTATTAGGGATTGAGCCCGAAACCTAGACATGTGCCCTTGACTGGAATCAAACCCGGACCCTTTAGTCCACAGGCCGAGCCTCTATCCACTGAGCCAAGTCTGCCAGGGCTATTTTTTCTTTATAGAAGCTCTTACCATCAGAGTGTAAGCTGCATGAAGGCAGGGCTTTTGTTCTACACTAATACCCCTGTAGGAACAGGATGGGTCTGTGGGTCCTGAAGGGAGTTGGGAGTCCCCAGCACTTCAGGTAAAACCCCTCCAGTCTAGCTTCTGTAGTAAGCAGCTGGTTCCTTTTTTATAGTCCCTAGAGAATCTATTTTTTAACTCCTTTTTTCTACACTGCCCTCTTGGCCAGAGCCATTCAGGGAGTTTTGCTTATCAAACCAGGGAACCTTGTGCTCTTCTCAGCCCAGCCTGCGCCATTCCCACCTCCTTACTCAGGAAACTGTCATACTGGGAACCGCTGTGGGGCAGGGCCTGTTCCAGTTAGAAAGGTTGGCACCCATCCCGTCCTCAGGATGGTGCCTGTTGTCTGCCTGGCATCTAACACTGACCCCTCAGCATATAACAATATCCCCATTTTCTCCTCTGGATGAATAAGAAAGGGGGACTGTTTGTATGAGGGAAGGCAGGCTGGGGCCTGTGTGAGCTCAAGAATAAACAGGTGATTTGTCAGCCTGGTCCTTCCTCATTTTTTCCAGGTGTGGGGGGCTGGAGAGGTGGCCACTGTGTGGTTCCTGGTCTAGGGTGGGGCCCTGCTGGGTGAGGGCTTGTTGCAGTCACAGGAGCTTGTACCACAGGCACTTTTACACACACAACAGTGTCTAATCTTTGTTTGCAGCCACCCCTACCCATTTTTGGAAGTTACTGTTGAAATTCTGATTCTCTTACAGATGTCAAACAGAACTATACTAACTGTGATTAGACTTTGCGTTTTCCATAGGGAAAAGACCGATGCAACACTCATTAAGAAACACAATGCAGTATTTCTCTGCCCAAAGCATGCCGGGCTGCAGCAAGCCACTGAGCTGTGACATCAGCTGTGGCTTGACTTGCAGCACTGGGTCAGGAATTCCTGACCACATACCATTGTGCAGAGAGCAAAGCCTGGAGGCCCCCAAAGGGGGACTCATTATTTTTTATTAATCCTATCTTTGAGAATATTTTTTCCATTGATTTTTTTTTCTTAGAGAGTAGAAGGGAGGGAGGGGGAAAGAAACATCGATGTGAAAGAGACATTGATTGGTTGCCCCCTGCACATGCCCCAACTGGGGCCAGGATGGAATCTGCAACCCAGGCATGTGCCCTTGACAGGTAATCGAACCCGTGACCCTTCGTTTCGTGGGCTGACTCTAACCACAGAGAAACACCAGCCAGGGCGAGGGCCCACATTTTAAGTCCTTGGGAATCCCAGTGTCCTTTTGGATCCTGCTGGTTGGTGTAATGCTCTGTTGGCAACGATGTCCAAAATCTGGATCGAAGGCCTTCTGTGATGGTGGCCTTGGTTCCTCTTGGATTATGTCAGGGGTCAGGACCACTTCTCTATTTGGTACCGCAGCCTCCTGGCTCACCAGCTTGTCACGAGCAAGCCCACCAAGTGATGTCTGAGAACTGAAAACCAACCACCAAAAGACCCATACAACAAAAACACCATGACTGGCCTCTCAATAACTACCAGGAACTTTGTCCAACTTAATTCTGCTGTGCCCTGGCTCAGCTAGCACTGGTCTCAGGACCTCCCATTGGACATGGGTTGGGCCGCCACCAGCCCTTTTAAACTCAAATCCCTCAGGAGCTTTGGCTGCTGCCCTGTGAAAAGGGATAGGGGTCAGTAAAGTCCAGAGAAGAGAGGGGCTCTGCCTCAGGTCCCATAGGAATTGGGCCTTGAGCCTCCCTCCATCCAGGACACGGTGGTCCTTGCAGACCTGTGGCCTGCCCCTCATTGTGGTCAGAAAGACTCCCACCTCCCACCCTGGTCTGGGCCTGGCTCTATCCCAGACCTGAGCATTGCAGGGTAGGGAGCAGCACAATGGGTGGATGGGGCTGCCAATGACAGCACTGCTCTGTCCCTCCTGGCCCTGCCATTTGGCACAGTCAGGGTTACAGCTGGGGCCCCTCCCAGTCTTCAGAGCCACTGTCCCTTAGCAACAATCCTACCGGGCAGAACGCACTGCCAACACAGAACAAACCAGGCAGGAGCCAGTGGAGTGGCCATCTGAGGACTCCAGGACAGACAAGGCCAGGTAAGTGAGTAGGGGGCACCCAGCTTGTAGCATGGCCAGCCGAGCAGGAAACCCACTTAACCTCTGTCTCATCCAGCTGCCCAGAGAACCTGAACCTAACATGGATACAGTGGACGCCACTGTGGAGAGGCTCCGGGAACAGTGCCTGTCCCGAGGGGCCTCTGGCATCCAGGGCCTAGCCAGGTGAGCTGTCCCCTCACCCGTTCCTGACCACTTGGCCCCAGGGATCACTCTCCAACTGTGGCCCTTGCCCCTAGGTTTTTCCGCCGCCTGGACCAGGACAGGAGCCGATCCCTGGATGCGAGGGAGCTTCAGCAGGGCTTGGCTGAGCTGGGGCTGGCGCTGGACATGGCTGAGGCAGAGGGTGTGTGCAGGCGATGGGACCGTGACGGCAGTGGGACGCTGGACCTGGAGGAGTTCCTGAGGGCACTCCGGGTAAGGCTGGGCTGACTGGGGGCAGGTCCCTTCACCCAGCTGTCTGGCGGGGGGAAGGGGTGTGCTGAGCTCTCAGTGGGATTCCCTGTGTCAGCAGACACCGGACACCCAGGAATTCATCACTAAGAGACTCAGGGATCCCCTGCGCTCTGCACTCTATGCCTGGAGGGGTTGGAGTCTCTTAGTCATCACTTGCCCTCCTTCAGCCCCCCATGTCCCAGGCCCGGGAGGCGGTCATTGCAGCTGCATTCTCCAAGCTGGACCGCAGTGGGGATGGTGTGGTGACCGTGGATGACCTTCGGGGGGTGTATAGCTGCCACGCCCACCCCAAGGTGCAGAGTGGGGAGTGGACTGAGGAGGAGGTGCTCCGCCGCTTCCTGGACAACTTTGATTCCTCTGAGAAGGACGGGCAGGTAGGTGCCTATGGGGTCTCCCTAGCTCCTCCTGCCCTAGATTTCCATCCCTACTTAGAACCTGTCTGCCCCCAGGTCACCCTGGCTGAATTCCAGGACTATTACAGTGGTGTGAGCGCTTCCATGGACACGGATGAGGAGTTTGTGGCCATGATGACCAGCGCCTGGCGACTGTGAGCAGCATGCACTCAGCTGGCACCACTGTAGCATAGGACTCCACCATGCCCCCCCCCCCCCCCCGAGTTTCCAGCTGGGCAGCCCCAGGGGTGGGGGCTGGAGGATTGAGGCTGCAGAACTGGTTGGACCAGGTCTGAGGCCGCCCCCCCCCCCTCCCGCATTAGGCCACTGTAGATGCCCACCCCCACCCGTCACCCTGTTCTGCTCAGTTAATCCTTGACTCTGTTAGAATTCCCATCCTGTCCCTCCTTCACGGTTCCTGGGAAGCCAGGAGGCCCCTGGATGTGATATGGGTGTGGGGAGGGAAGCAAATGGCTCTTCTATGAAGCTAGGCTCTGCACTGAAGTGGCAGGTGTTGGAAGGCGTGGAGTGTAGGGTAGGGGCCCAGGGCAGCAGGCAGGCCAGGCTACTGGAGGAGCCTTACCTTGGGAGGCAGAGGTCACTCCTGGCCAGGCCCTCGGGCTTCCTGAGGCCCCTGGGGCACACAGGAGGCCAGGGGTTTAGTTAAAAGTTTTAATGTAGTTCCCAAATACATTTCATATGACAATCTTACATAAATGTTCCAAAACACATGGGCATTATCTGGTTTTACTTGTCACTAGTTGACTAAGGCTTAAAGCAGAGAAATGTAGCCAGATCTGCTGGGGGTGGGAGGAGGGGTGGTGAGGGAAGGGCTTTGGTGTCTTCCCATGGCTCAGGCTGCAAACAGTCAACCCAAGGTGTGGGTGGCACAGCTATGGAGACCAGGCCTTCTCCCTATGAGTGGGCTGGATCATTTCTTCTAAAATCCCCCGGGGCCCTGTGAACAGGGACCTTCTTTGCAAGGGGGACGGTGCCCACCTGGGGTCTTGGCCTTCCCTGGGGTGGGCACAAGCACCAGCTCCCGTGTGTGCTGCGAGTGTTGGGACAGCAGTCTGTAGTCTGGAACCAGTCCCCTGCCACTCCTCAGAGGCCCTGCTTAGGGACCCCATCTGCCTGTTATGGAGGCCCCTGGCCCCGGATGGTCTTGGGGATGGTGACATCCAGGGCTGGGCAAGGAATGGCCAACAGTAGAAAGCAGGTGTGTGCCTGGGTGTCTGATGGTGGGTGACCCACGTGACGGGGACAAGCAAGAGGGGAGGGGCGCTATGCACATCCCCTTCTTTGTCAGCTCCTGTGGGAAGCAGTGGCCTGTCAGGTCCCCACTCTGGAAGGCACCCCATCCAATAGGGCCAGGTCTCCACACCAAGACATCACTCTCTGGGCAACGGGAATGGGTGAGAGGGGATCTAAGAAAGCAGCCCCCTCATACCCTCCTAGATCCAGTGACCCTTTTCTAGATAAGCTCTCTCTAGGTATGATGCCTACCCCTCAACACCCCTTCATAGCTTGGAGGAGCCCCAGGTGGGGAACAAGTGGGAGCCTTCAGAGCACCCCAAGCTCCCCAGTAAGGCCCCAGCACACAAGCCATGACCATAGGGAGAACGAGGACATTGGAGCTGTGCCTGCTCAATACGCAGGAGCATCTTAATCTAAGAAACCAAAAAAAAAAAAAAAAAAAAAAAAAAAGCGCCTTGGGGGAAAAGAAACCTAAAAACATATACCCCAAATCAGAAGGTGGGGAAGGGGAGATAAAGATAGTAGTTAGCAGAATATCCAGCAGGGCCAGTGTTTACACTTGTGGGCACAGACCTGGTAGCCTGGGCAGGTGGCAGAAACCCACAGGTATGGCGGCGGCATGAGAGGGGTGAAGAAACCAGGCATCCCAGTCCCAGTGAGAAGCCGTGACAAGTCTTAATGTGCCATTTCAATTCAAAGGAGGGAGGGAAGAAATGTTCTTTTTGTTTTGCTCATCAATATGATGAGGTCTCGTGTCCCAAACCACATTCAGGCAGTTCCCAAGTCTGCTTCTGAACGGGCCTTGCGGATCCGGACTGTGGCCAACCCAGCGGGGAGTGTGGTTCCCGGGGCCCGCACCTCGACGCAGCCGGAGAGGGGCAGGCGGGTGGGTGGACAGACGGACAAAGCAGCAGGCTCCTGGGTGGCCAGCTCCCGGCGCTATGTGCTCCCAGCTGTCTGCCCGTCCCCTTCGTTGTCAGCGCCTGTGGGAAGCAGTGGCCTCGCCATCAGGTCCCCACTCTGGAAGGCACCCCAGCCCCCGGGGTCAGGCTTCCACACCAAGATGTCACCCTCGGGCCAACGGCAATGGATGAGAGGGGATCTAGGAAACCAGCCCCCTTGCGCCCTCCAGGGCAGGGACTGCTGGCTCACCGCCTCCTGTGGCCCCTGACGGAGCTAGGACGTCGTCATCGTCACTGTCATCTTCATTGGATGGGGCCACACCAGGCTCGGGGGCAGGTGTTCTGGTCTCCTGTTCCTGCTCCACGCGGCTGCGCAGGGCCAGGATGCGGTGGTGCAGGGCGGCATATAGCTGGCCCGTGTCCTTGGAGCTGGCCTGGGGGAGGCAGAGGAAGTCCTGATTATGAGGCTTCATGGGGAAAGCGCTCCCTGGGCTCACAGCCCAAAGCTCCCAGAGCCCAGGGCCCATCCCTCCAAGTGCTCCCAGAGCCTGTGGTTGGGTCAGCCCTCAAGTGACAGTGGCATTCCTGCGTCTCATTTTGGGGGTGGGGCCCACCTAGAGGCCTCCTTGCTCTCTAGGGCCATGCTCTCAGAGCAGTGCTGAGTGCTCCCGCAGAGGGGCACTCTCGATCCAGCCCTGTGGTGACTGCCAGCATGTGCCAAGAAGCTTCCCTCCTGTGGCAGCTCGGGGTTGCTGCCCTGGTCCGAGCGAGGGGGGCTGTTTGGGTTTGGGCAGCCCAGCCTGTCTGGGGGGCTGCTCACCGAGATCAGGAAGACCTTCACGCCCTGGTCCTCGGTATCCATGGCTGTGATGCGAATGCTCTTCTCACTGGCCTTGTCAATCTGCATCTGAGCCCACAGCTTGGTGTTGAGGATCAGCCGCAGGCTACCCTGGGTCCGCATCACTGCAACCAACAAGGCCACTCAGCCCTGGTTCCCACCCGCCGCCCAACAACCAGCTAGAACAGACACAAACTGGAAGGAAAGCAAACCCCAACAGTGAAATCCCATGACTCTCCCAAGGTCCGAGAAAGTCATCCACCTGTCCACTGAGCAACAGCCACACATGCTGGGGCTGGCCTGGCACCACCACCTGGCTTCCTGGGCCCAGAACCACCAATGCCACTGGCGGGGTCAGAGGCCAGCATGTGCCAGGATGGGGGCTTCCTTGGGGAAGGGGGTGATTAGGCAGAAGCAGGAGGAGAACTGTAGGGAGGTGGGGCCAGATAGGGACATTTGTGGGCTGCACACAGGGGACACTCACACTTCTTTATTTTTTAGTTTCAATTAATTGTTTTAGTCTCACCAACAATAACCTTTGAAAACAAAAGCACTTTTACATCCTTAATTAGGTAAACTGTGGTCTCCAAGTTTCTGCTTCTTGATTTAACTTTGTCCTTCTGCTTCTTGATTTAACTTTGTCCTCCGCCCCCGCCACACACCCCTCCCTACTCTGCAGGCTCTTCAGATTCCGTGGCCACCTCTGCCCCGTGGCACTGTGGGCCTGGACCCAGCGCTCCCTGAAGTTCACACCAGCAGTGGGCTTCCCGGAGGGGCTTGTGTGCACCAGGTGGCTTGCGGGTCTCGCCCCCGCCCACCCCCTGGACAATCCTGCCCTAGGCAGGCGCCCAGGGTGCAGAGCTGAAGAGAACTAGGGAGGCGCTTTCTGTTTACCTTTATTGCTAAAATAACAGCAAAGAAGTGACTTCACGAAGAAGCTTAGTGAAATCGTCGACACTCACACTTTATGTGACACATGTCACATAAAAGTCAAGACCTCTTCACTGTCCCCCACTCACAGGCCAAGTCCCTGAGGTTTTCTTAGAAAAAGGATTGAGGCTAACCTGTGCTCAGAGCTTCCAGGAAGGAGATAAAGACAGAGTGAAGGAAACATATGGCAAAGAAATACTGGGCACAGACCTTTCCTCTCTGGACATACATGTGACACCCCCAGGTCTCCCTGCAGCAGACCCAATGCCATAGTCAGCCTGCCCAATTTGTCAGAGCCCAGCCAGCCAGCCCAGCTCTCCCCATTAGAACAGACCTGGTGAGGATTAAAGGTGTCATCCCATCCAGATGGCCACACAGGACGGGGAGCAGCTTGGGCCAACTTGGGGAGGTCTGTGGGGTCCTGGGCCTCAACTGACCAAATCTCCTTGTGTCCTCTAAGCCTGGCTTCGCAAGCCCAAAGTGCCCATCTTTGAGGCAGTGGAGCAGTTCAGATGGGCTCAGAGGGAAGGTCTGTGACAAGGTAAAAGGCGGTGTGGGGTGAAAGTAAAGGGATCTCAATGAGGGAGGGGAGGGCGTAATGCAACCATGCTGCTGCCTGAGGAGGTGGGTGATGAGCTGTGGGGCTGCAAATACTGTGCTCTCTCTGTCCACATACATTTGAACATTTCCCTAAGAAAAAAGGAAAAAGGAATGGAGGGGACGTCCATGGGGGAAAAAGAACGGTGCCCAAACAGAAGGACCCTTTTCATCCCTGTTCCAATCTCTGAGACAATTCTGAAAGGATGCAACGTAAGCTACTACTGGGTCATGAATAGCTGTTTCTGTAAAGGCTGGAGGGCAATTTTTGTGTAGGAAGACGACAAAAAAAGTGAACATACATATTTCACAACATAGACAAATGAACATGCTGATTCTCTTCAAACATGCATATATGTATGTGTATATACCCCCTCAATCCATCTTTGTAATCAACATACTTCTGGGAATAAGAGTCATGTGTAGATAGCCCAGGACCACCATTTATGATACTCAGAAAAATTAGAGACAAACTACATGTCCATCAATAGGGAAATGGTGACATACATTCATTTTTCAACAGAATATATTAGTTTCCCCAAAGTCATGTTTTTAAGGAAAATTTAATGACACATGAGCATGTTCACAAAATAGTGAGCGAAAAGAACAGAATATAAAATTACCCCATTTCCTTAAGAAAAAACCCACAGAACAGGAGTGGACCAATATGTTATTAGCAGAGATTTCTCTTTATCAAGAGACTGCAGTTGATTTTTTTCTTTTTCCATCCTACCATAAAATAACTGACACTTTCATGATCAGAAAACAAGTTTAAAAATTGCTAAATACTTTTATCTCACTTTCACACTCAGAAAGAGGGAAGTCATGGAAGGGCTGGCAGCTGGATCCTCCGGGTCAGGCCTCAGGGTGTGGGTACCTGGGCTCTCCCGTGAGGACCTGCTCCCCTGCTCCTTGGGTCAAGGGGCCAAGCTGGGACCTTGCCCTTTACTGCCTTGGGAACTCTGCACCGATCCAGGCCCTCCCACAGCTCACCTAGTCGGGACTGTAATGTCCCATCGTCAGCCGATGCCATGTCGTTGAGTCTCAGCAGTCCCCGGCCTCTCTCCACCCAAGACTGCGAGGTCTTGTCAAAGACAAACAGCTTACACTGGATCTGGAACACAGGGCAGCCCTCTGGGTGAGCAAGGGACCCTAGCTGGTAGATGCCACTATGGGAGGCGGGGGATACCTGGGAGCCTCCATTTAATTCTCATGTACTAACAGGGTCAACAAACTACGGGCCCACATCTGACCTTTGGCCAGTTTTCTATTCTGCCTTCAAACTAAAGTGGATTTTATACTTTTAGAGGGATATTTTAAAAATTAAGGAAATGAAAATCAAAACCACGAGATATCACTTCACACCCACTAGGATGGCTACAACCAAAAAGACAGATAATAACAGGCACTGGAGAGGATGTGGATAAACCAGAAGCCTCATACAGTTCCTCAAAATAGTAAATATGGCCCTGGGGCAGTGTGGCTCAGTTGGCTGGAACATCATTCCGTACACTGAAAGGTCACGGGTTCGATTCCTGGTCAGGGCACATGACTAGGTAGTGGGCTTGATCCCCAGTTGGGGCGTGTGCAGGAGGCAGCCTTCTTTCTCACATTGATATTTCTCTCTCCCTCTTCCTTTCCTTCTCTCTAAAAAAAAAAATAAAATAAAAAATATCAATGAAAAATTTCCTTGGGTGAGGATTAAAAAAAAAAAGGTTGCCCTGGCTAGTGTGGCTCAGTTGGTTGAGTATTGTCCCATGCACTGAGAAGTCGCTGGTTCTATTCCCCATCAGGGCACATGCCCAGGTTGCGGGCTTGATCCCCAGTAGGGGGCATGTTGGAAGCAGCCAATAGATGGTTCTCTCTCATCAATGTTTTTCTCATATTTAAAAAAACAGAAAAAAAAGTTAAAGATGAAGTGACTACATGGTCCAGCAATGCCACTTCTAAGTATCCACCCAAGAGGAATGAAATAGATTTTCATACAAGAACTTGCACACAAATGTTCATAGCAGCAGAATTACTATAATAGTTAAGAAGTGGAAACTACCTAAATGTCCTTCAACGCAATGGAATATTATTGAGCTATGAAAAGGAGTGAAGCACTGACACACACTATAACATGGATGGACCTTGAATACATGATGCTCAGTGAGAGCAGCCAGACACAAAAGGCCACAAAGTATGTGATTTCATTTATGTGAAATGTCCAGTATAGGCAACTCCACAGAGACAGGAAGTGGATTCGTGATTGCCTGGGGGTGAGGGAGAGGAATGGGGAATGACTGCTAATGGGCACAATGTTTCTTTTTGGAGGACAAAAATGTTCTAAATTAGATAATAGTGACAGTTGCACATCTGTGTCAATATACTAAACACCACCAAATTGTATGCTTTAAAAGGGTAAATTTCTTTGTGTGTGCACTACATCTCAATAAAGCTGTTATATTAAAAAAGGCTATCAACAGGGACCATAAGTGATTCTTTACAGAAAAAGTTTGCAGATCATCATGTCAATATCTCTTAACATGGATAGATTAAAAAAACAAAGTTGAGTGGGGAAAGAAGTACCACTAAAACCTGCATTAAAACCCTCTCTATACTATATATGTATAGTTTATAGACACATACATATGTGTGAAAAGCAGATAACAGGCACAGAGACCTGGACATGTTGCCCCAGACTAGGAAGGAAAATGCTGACAGGGAAAGAGTAGGGTGAAGTTTGGGCTGCAGCTGTGATTTTTTCCCTCTAATAAAACAAGACAAGGTGCCAGTGTGACAAAATAACCACAGCTATAACTCTGGATAGTAAGAGAAGTTACAACAGTCGTGTAATTCCCTAAACCAGTGGTCAGCAAACTGCGGCACGCACGTACATTGCGATTGAAACTTCGTGGCCCATGCGCAGAAGTCGGTATTTTGTGGAAGAGCCACACTCAAGGGGCCAAAGAGCCGCATGTGGCTCGAGAGCCGCAGTTTGCCGACCACTGCCCTAAACTATGAGAATGTTTCAAAACAGAATTCTTTGGTTGTAAAACAAAGCAATATAAGAAGACCCTTAGAGTTGGTTAAACTTCCAACAAAAGCCCCACCAACAAGATCCTAAAGGTGGTACTCAGGCCTCTCTGTCACTTCCAGGGGAAGTCTCTCCCCGATGTGCTTGGAGAATGTGGGTTGACCCCTTGGGGGCTGGACCCTCAAACGCACAAAGAAGCTTAAGGCCATAACATTCCACCTAAGAGCCAAGAGGCCCACCTTACCTGTAACACGTTGCTCTCTGCCTCCTCCCCGGTGATAACTTCCACTTTTTCCAACAAACACTTCCGCGCTGTTGCCTTGGTGTAGGCGGCTGCCGATTCGGCCAGGGACTCTGCAATGTTATTAGCTAAATGACACTGACTACTATTTACTTGGTTGGGGGAGAGTGTACTGCACAGGAGGCAAAGGGTTGGCTTGGTTTCAAGGGTACCAGCTACCCATGAGACATGGAGTGGACCCCAAAATATGCCAAGTAGTTCAGCCTCGGGATCTGTACGGGAGGCCAGCTGGGAGCTGCTGGCATGGCTATGGGTTTCCCATTTCCCATTCAGTAGGGGGCAGACCTCGAAGAGGGCACGGAAGAAAACTCCCTCTGCTGCTTCAGGGTGTGAAGGGAGAGGGCTACAACCATCTCAACCACCCTACCCCCAAGTCACCATATAGCACCACGGGCCTGGGCCTAACTGTTTATAGATGAACATGTCCCCTTTTTGTTCACTGAAAACCTGTGCCCATGGCTTTCTGGCTCTGTCCCAGTGGCTGGTTCATGAGGTTATTACTGCTATGTTGAGTTGATCCCTACATCCCTCCCAGGCTGGCACGTGGATGGACAGTATCCTGTCACTTGGTACCCCCTCCTATGAGGCAATAGTGTTGCGACGTACCTTTCTCAGGGGTGGCCTCTTGGGATGAAGACTCGGACCCAGACTCGACAGCTGAGTTCTCCCTGTTGGCATCTGAAGTGACCTCATTTAATTTGGGTGGGCTCTGCAGGGAAACAAAGGCACATGGGAAAGGCATTTGGGCGATCCTGGTGGGTCAACCACTATGGAACAGTAAGTCCGGCAGCAGCTCTCAGAACTTCCCTGCTGGGTAGAGGGCTGCTTTCTGCCCACAGCTCCTCCTCTGCAGCTTTGCGGACCCTCCCAGACCTGGCAGACAGACCTACAGAGCCCTTCCCCATGGGCTATGTCCCAGCCATACTCACCACACCTCCATTCCAAAAACCACACAACAATTTTCAAGCATCATTTGGTGTTAAAACCTAACACAAAAGGGGCATCATGCATGAACTGCCCTTGGAGCCCCCCAATGGGGCCTCTCATGGCACTGCCGGGAGATGTGTGCCACCAGCTGACATTACTTTGGGCTGCAGAGTTCACCTTTTTGTGAGGTAGTTCTTTGACTATTTCATTTTAGCAGGAAATGGACAGTACTGATGCTTGAGAAAAAAGCAGAGGGCTTTTTAATGTAATGTATTCTGAGACAAACATGGACAGAATTGGTTGGACCCAAAACAGCTCTGTAGCCACACTGACAATGGACACAGAAGGGCTGTGCCCATTTGATCAGGGGAAAAAAAGGGCCGAAACCAGTTTGGCTCAGTGGATAGAGCGTCGGTCTGCGGACTGAAAGGTCCCAGGTTCGATTCCGGTCAAGGGCATGTACCTTGGTTGCGGTCATATCCCCAGTAGGAGATGTGCAGGAGGCAGCTGATCGATGTTTCTCTCTCATCGATGTTTCTAGCTCTCTATCTCTCTCCCTTCCTCTCTGTAAAAAATCAATAAAATATATATATTTTTTAAAAAGGGATGAAGTAAGGAAGCACGTAAACAATTCCAGAACCCAACCCTGGCTGTGATGTGTCGGGAGTACATGGGACACAGGGTCCCTCTGAGGCCACCACACCTGTCCCCCCTCCTTTGTGCCGCAGCCTCACTGGCAGGTGGGAGGACCATCGTTGGCTCCAGAAGTGGCTCTGGGGGGCCCCAGCAGCGTGCAGCTAAGGACTGGTCTGATGGCTGTACCTGTAGCCAGACTTCACAAGGAAAGCATGGCCTGTGCCTCAGGAAACCTGTCTTAGAATGAGGAAAGACTGGAAATGGAACACTGGCTCCTGGAGAGCAAATAACCCTGCCCCTGACTTTAAGCTGAGTCTTCTTTCTTACTTGCAACTGAAATCATCCTAATTTTCCAAGAGACAACGCGGCAGCCACACTCACATTCCTTTGACCTGGGCTGGGGAGTTCTAAAAACCTTCTGGGCCCCAGGAAGAACAGTCCCCATACGGGCCACTCACCAATACGCGCTCGCTCATGTTCTGGCCAAATACAAATTTGTTGCTGGTGGCATCGGCACTATTGGTCGAGTTCTCTAAACTGAAAAGAAGATGGACTGTGAATTCAGGGGCAGAACCTGGTGGGTAACAAGAGGCAGCTGAGCTGCCACCGGCCCACTGGGTTCTGTTCTGGGCACAAGGTCCTGGTGATAGAAGTCACTCTGAGAGCTGGGCTGGACAACCCCACAGAACTCAGGTCCTGCCTCAAAGTTGTCCATCAAAGTCCATTGTCCTGGCCCTTCCACTGCTGTGCCAAGTGGGAAAGAAGGAAGGGACTAGGGAGCAACTGGAATTCTGGAGGATTCTGCTCCTTCCCCTCCATCCTGCCCCCCAGGGAAGGACCAGGCTGGCTCCTGGTCTGGGTTCTGCCTCCTCTCTGGGCCACAGACAAGGTGGATGAATGACCTGAGTGCCTCTGAGGCTGGACACAGGGCCTCACACACATACCTGGAGCTGATATATTGAAGGAAATAGTTGGTCGCGGTTGGCGTTTCTGAACTGGGGTGTCCGGCATTTTCCATGTCAGCTGCTTCAGTGTTTTCATTTATTAACTGGGAAATAGAAACACTATACTCAGAGGACACACATTCTGGACCTCTACAGCTTGGCCTGGCTGCACAATCCCTCCGCTGTGTGGCACAGCTCAACATGCAAATCCCATCAATGTGCATGCAGGGGCTTGTGTGTGAGCACTGGGTGCTGGAGCTGTAATCAATTCCAGAACTTTTTGCTTTTCACAGTTAAGGTACAAAAACAATTCATAAAATGTTAGTGGACTTTTTCTACCTTGTTTTAAAAAAATAAAATAAAAAATGCACTCAGGTTGGCATCTTGTTAGCATTTTCATCACTTCTGTTCCGAGATCACAGAACACTTATAAATCTGGTGTTTTAAGGGGTTTATTAAGAACATAAAGCACTGTTGTTTGATGGCTTCATTGATGCCAGCTGCCCTGTCTGCTCCATCACATATGTGACCTAACGCACTACTCCTGGGCACCCTGAGGGGTGGAAGGATGGACTCGGTCCTGTGAGCGAGGAAGCTTGAGCTCAGAGGAGCTAGGAGACCATGGCCTGGAGTCACCCTCTGTGGAGAAGGTGGGATGTGACCAAGACCTCAGAGACCACATGAGCCCCAGGTCTCTAGGAGACACTGCCCCTGCCCCCATGTCAAGGTAGCATTGCCCTGAACTTGAGGAGCAGACTGAACTAGATGGATGGCCAGACACCGCCCCCAGGGCTGGTAGATTTCAAGGCTGTTCCTTCACTTTCCTCTTCCTGGAGGGAGCAGTCCTCAAGGAACGTATTATTTTGGCTAAAGTCATGTGACATCAACACTTATTTTTGTCTCCTGGGGCATCTGTGCTTCTCTTGGACAGTGACACCACAGGAGAACACAGGTGGCATGTTTTCTTGTGGTGACTTTTGTTTCCTTATTTCCGAGTCTCTCATCCTCAGCATCACTGACATTGGGGCTGGATCGTCCTGGGCACTGTGGGGTGTTGAGCAGCATCCCCGGCCCCTACCCACTCGATGCCAGGAGTACCTTCCCCCTAGTGTGACAACCACAGATGTCCCCAGACATGGCCACTGACACTGCCTCTCAGTCCTCTAAAGGAGATTCCTGCCAGGTGAGCTGCTGGAAATGGCACAGAAGAACATTCCATATCTGTGGCTGCAAAACGTAGTGCTGCTCACTCTAGTCTTTCTGAAGTGCTAGCACAGAGGGTGCAGAGCTGAGACCCCTGCCACTGCCAGATGCCCCCACGCCAACTCAGTCCCCAGACTGGACCCACCCGAGGTGGCAGATACTGTTGCTCCTATGGGAGAGAAAACAATCTTTCCACCTGTCCTACTTTTGAAAATAAGATGGTTCTGTCGGGAGCAATCTGGTCCCGTGGGGAACATTCAGCACTACTTGGGGGCATGTGTGGTTGTCACAACTGAGAGGGTATACGCCTGGTATCTAGAGGGTGGGGACCAGGGATGCTGCTCAACAACCCACAGTGGTGAGTAGGTCATGCTTCCAACAACTAAACACAATCTGGTCTGAATGCTGCTAGTGTTGAGATAAAAAACCCTGAAGAAAACAAAAACCTCGCACTGGTTGCCCCTTTGTCCCCTGTAGCCAGGAGCCACCGCTGAGTCCCACTGAGGACGGAGGGATGGCAGGCAGCCTGGGTGGCTGAGCAGCAGAGTATGGGAAACATGCACAACAAGCAGCTGCCGGCCGTGCTAAGAGTCACAGGACCACTTCACAACACAGCCTCTGTGTCTGCCCCACCCTTCAGAAGCAATTCCTGTTCTCGAACCTGGCGAGAGGCATACAGAGATCAATCCCTGAGTTCAACGGCTCCCCCAGCCCTCTGAGTACATACCTTAACTCTGTCCCTCAAGTTCTGCCCAAATACAAACGCTTGCTGTGCAACTTGCTCTTTTTTCTCACAGCTGTCCTCCTCAGAAGTACTGCTAGACTCATTTTTCTGGGGCTCTTTCTCCTAGTTAAACAGAACAACGACAACTGTAAAGAAGGGACACATTAGCCCCGATGAGCAAGCTGAATCATCTTATAGCACAATTGCATGTCCCTTGACAAGGGTCCCTGGGCTGAGGAACATCTGAGGAGGGGCTAGAACCAATCGGAAAAGTGAGGCAGCCAGGAACATGGGGAGGACAGGACAGTGGGGTCACTTTTGGTCTCCCTCTGGTGCAGAGATGTGCAGCTGACTTCCCTGAGACCCAGCTACCAAAGTTCCATGAAGCATATGTTACAAAAACAATTTCTATTTCCAATTCCATTAACTGGGTTGAAGGTGGGGGGGACCTCATAGATGTTTCAAAATAGAATTGTAGATGATCATTTTCACCATTTGAGCCTGAACACCTATGGGGGGTGAGGGTGAGGATGAGGGAGGCAGAGGATAGAGAACCTCTGGCAGCAACTTATCTGCTGAAGTGGCCGAGGGCAAAGGCACACAGACGCAGTCTGGCTTGCGTCTGAGGCAAGGTGCAGTATTGCAATTTGGATTCCAAATCTGTCTGTCAACCCCAAGAGCAGGTGCTTCATGAAATGCCTGTTTCCCAGCTGCTCTGCAGCACTACTGGTAAACAGATGCTTCTGGCCTATATAATTCCAGAACCATAAAGGATGTCTTTTAAAAACAAACAATTTCTGAGCTGATTCCCCAGGCATTTAAAAGAGCATACGTACGAATCCCCAGAGTCGCTGGGGTATGGAAACAGGGAGGGAAGACATTTGTCTCCACAAAATGGTGCAAGGATCTCATTAATGAAAGCCATCCCTCCGGTCCCAGTGGCTCCCCAAGGCTCAAAGGTTAGTGTGCCAACTAGCAGAAACGCTGCGCCAGGACATGTGGAAATGACATGCTGGATTCGGGCAACACAGGACTCTATAGCAGAGCTTTGTTCACAGCATCTTTCTCTCAGAACCATGAAGACACCCCTCCCCTCTCTTGGCGTTCGTCAGCACTGATACTGCTGAGCAAATCCAGAAAGCTTGAACACAGAACAAACTGGCACTGCTCAGAGCAGGTAACAGTCTATGTGCTCAGCAAAGCCTGAGAAGTCTCCTGTGAGGTGTGCTCCCTGCCCTGGCACAGACGGACCTCAGGTGCTGGCGCCTCATCAGGTGGACTTCTCTGTGTGGGGTTGTCAGGCGATGTTGATGTCGATGTCGCTGTTCCTGTGCAGTCTGCTGGGATGCTGAGCCCATTGGTGCCGCTGCTTGGAACTGTGGGGACAAACGGACAGAGTGAGAATCGTGGGGTTAGTGCTAGACCACCTCTAATGCTTTCTTCTGCCACCATTTGGACCAACAGTATATAATTTCTCCTTTTACAAGGAAGGGTCTAGTATCTCTACTAAAAGCAACAAACTCTTAGATTAAAAGAACAAATATTGGGGGAACAATTATGAGTTTTACAAAAAAGTTTTACAAATGATATCTTCATTCTATGCATTTTTCCTTTAAATAGCTGAGATTACATGACACGCACAACTTCAAATCTAGCTTTGACTGTTGAGTATTACATAAAAAAACTTCCCATGTAATTAAAAACTCTTCAGAAATGTTACTATTTCCCTCATGTGGGATGTTGCGTGGCTTTTGATGAAGAATTCTCGAATTATAGGGAAAGATCAAGAGGAAGACAAGAGCTCATTCACATGAAGAAAATTAAAGATTAACTGAAAACCACTGCCTATGTGGATGTAATGAAAATATGGTTTAAGAGTCACGTCTCAAGGTTGGCAAGTAAAATGAAAACATGTGAAAGTTACCCTTTGAGTTTCTGAGACTGCAGGGCTGAATTCTGCCTGCAAACGTGTAGGGACGAATCTGAACCGCTCAGGAAGTGGAGGCAGCATTTATGAGGCGAGGGTGTGCACAAGGCACATTTGCACCAGCAGTCAGGCTTGGCCTCATGTCTTTACTAGGCTCACCAGGAATATAAAGGGCTGCTTTCCCAGCACTTTATTTCTTTGTGCATTTGGCAGATATGACATGGCTGTCCCAGAAGCGACTTCTGTAATAATCTACTCTGCCATGCCAGCCTGTACCAGGGCTGCGTTTCTTACCGGCCTGTGAGAGTGCCTTTGGCTGTGGGGCTTGTAACACTGCCGGGCGAAGCACGCTCCGCTGCTGCTCCTTGGGCTTCTGGCTTGGGCAGACCTGGGAACAGAGGTCGGTTTGCCCAGCGCCCTTGGATCCCGTGGGCAGAAATGCAACAGCTCAGGCTCTCAGGCACTTTACAGACAAATTAAATCCAGCAATCCATTTCATGTTCCTCACAGACTAGACTCTGTAGGGAAGCACATCTGTGTTTTGTTTTGTTTTTAGAAAATGTTTTTATTGATTTTAGAGAGAGGAGGGAGAGGGAGAGAGAGATATAAACATCAATGATGAGAGAGAATCATTGATTAGCTGCCTTCTGCATGCCCCCTACTGGGGATCGATCCCACAACCCGGGCATGTGCCATGACCAGAATCAAACTGCAACTTCTTGGTTCATGGGTCCATGCTCAACCACTGAGCCACAGCGGCCAGGAGGGAAGCACATTAAAAAAACAAACCCAAGACACTTTCTTTACAGCTAAACATACAGAGTTTGGCTATTGCTATTTTTATATGTGATTAAATGACATTTCCATGTAACTGATCATGTCTGTGAATTAACCCAGTGAGTACACTAATGCTTCGGGGAAGCCAAGGGACAGCTGTTCTCAAGTGCTGGGCTCAAGGGTCAAGCACAGACCTGAGGGGAAAGCAGCAAAGCCAACAGGCAATCCCCCAGAATTTAGGCTGCTGCTTGGGATCACAGAAAGGCACCCTCTGCACCTGCTTTTTATTTTTTTTAAAATATATTTTATTGATTTTTTACAGAGAGGAAGGGAGAGGGACAGAGAGTTAGAAACATCGATGAGAGAGAAACATCGATCAGCTGCCTCCTGCACACCCCCCACTGGGGATGTGCCTGCAACCAAGGTACATGCCCTTGACCGGAATCGAACCTGGGACCCTTCAGTCCGCAGGCCGATGCTCTATCCACTGAGCCAAACCGGTTAGGGCTGCTTTTTATTTTTTAAAATATATTTTTATTGATTTCAGAGAGGAAAGGAGAGGAAGAGAGGGATAGAAACATCAATGATGAATCATTGATTGCCTGCCTCCTGCACGCCCCATTTGGGGATTGAGCCTGCAACTTGGGCCTGTGCCCTTGACCGGAATCAAACCTGGGACCTTTCAGTCCCCAGGCTGACACTCTATCCACTGAGCCAAACCAGTTAGGGCAGCACCTGCTTTTTAAAATGCCACATTGAGAAAACACCTCTGGCCAAATACAACTAGGGCAAGGACCACGAGAAAACATTTTTGGCCCTGCTTGGGCTCCCTTTGGACCTGACAGGTCTCCAGAGCGCCATCACTTGGCCCTGCTCACGAACAGCGTGCTATTGAATTGAGGCCACTCTGCAAATCAGGGTTAACGATATGGCGTGCTGGGGCTAGAATGCTCTGGAAAGACAGCTGGAACCAACTGAGCTATCACTGGGCACAGAGCCCAAACTCCCATACCAACCCAAGCTTGTTCCCTTGTCACCTCCACTTCAGGGTAGAGAAGCTTCCTGGTCTGACAGGCTCTTTACAGTGTTTTTCCATAGCTCAGGTGTCAGGTACCAGCCCAGAGTGCACTGGTGGGTTGCCTTAGGCAGCTGTGCAAAAGCCTGGAAGGGTATGAGAAAGCCACTCTCCTCTCCTCCTCCAACGTGGGCACCTACCTGCACTGGGTGCCTGGCCATGGATCAGTGTTGGTGGCTTCAACCGGAACCCACTGCTCTTTTCCTCTACAAGCACAAGACAAAAGATAAAAAAAAAAAGCCTTCCTAGAGTGGGGTGGTGAGGCTGGGAGGGAGCAGGGGCAGGAGAGGGTTGTTGTCTGGGCCTCAGTAGCCAGGGGCCTAGAGAACAAGGGAAATGATTTCAAACTGAAACAGAAATGCAGAAGTCCTATCCAACCACCAAGGCTGTAAGGCAGCCTGGGTGAGGAGGCAGGGGATTGCAGGAAGTGCGGCTCGGGGCAAAGTACAGTGAATGGAAGACCAGAGGGTGTCAAAGGTGCAGGACAGAAGTGAGGGTGACCACTCCACCAAGGAGCCCTTCCATCCAGAAGGTGAGTGCCAGGCTGGACTTTGCCAGGACCTTGGATGCCATGCTGCACTTGCAGGCCCTGGAGAATGTCACAGTGCCACCGAATAAAGGCCTTCAGAGATGCATTTCTCTTTCCTAGAGCACTTGTCAGGAGAGCTCTTTGTACTACCAACAGATGTGTGGGAAATGAGACATGTTTTCTTTGGCAAGAGATCAAGAGTGGCACATAGTGGACTTGCTCTCTTTCTAGATATGCCTGGAGAGCTTTGTCTCATTGCTTAATGAGAGCACCGGAAGGCCTGGAAGAAGGAAGCAGGGTTGTTTGTCCTGGCCACATGTGAGGAGGCGGGGCCTCCCCCAGGACTTGCGTTCAGGCTGACAAATACAGGGGCTCTTGGGATATTCAAAACCTGGTTTCTGCTTAGCCACACGTCCACAGATCCCTTAATCAATGCATCTTGGTGACTTTGCCCATCTCTTAAGGGGGTGGGGTGGAAGAGACAGTTTAATGGAATCCTTGGTGGGAAGGATCAGCATAAAAAGCTTTGTGACTCTAACAGGCCAGGTCTGTATCTGGAGAAGCAGAGGGACAGCAGCATTTTAGGCCACCAGAGGCAGCCTTGCTTTTGTGCTAAGGTCCAACACATCGGAAAAAACCCTTGCCAGATTTCAGGGCACAAGATAATCATACAGAAATCAGTGTGTTTCTATACACTGGCAACAAACAACCCAAAATGAAGTCAAGGAAACAATTCCATATTGTTGGAAGAAAGTAAAGACTTACAAGATACCTCAAAAGGTCACACAAATCCAGAGACAGAAAGTGGATTCATGGCTGCCAGGGGCTGGGAAAGATAGAATGAGGAATGACTGCTAAAGGATATGGGACTTCTTTTGGGGGTGGTTAAAATGTTCTAAAATTAATTGTAGTGACAGTTGCACAACTCTGTGGATACACTAAAACCAACCAATTATACACTAAAATGACATCACAAATGCTGTCAGACCACTTTCAGGTAGGAAACAAAATCAAATCAGAATTCTGAGTAAAACAGAAGGGCCCTCTTCCTGTTGTCGATATGTTGGTGAGCCAAACTGCTTTCCTTGGGCAAAAATAGGATTACAGAAACTCTCACTGCTAGTTAGTAAAAAGGACTGGAGCCTGTGTTAGTGGGGTGGTGTCTCTCCCATAAGAGAGCTGTGGGCCATAAAAACCACACTCGGGAAATCAGACAAAACAGGATGCAGGGGAAGACATGCTGCCAGATGTTCCTTTTTAGAAGGAAAATACTGAATTACATTTCCAAAGCTTAGGGTTATTCAGAAGATGATTGGCAATATAAAACTAAAAAACTGAGATGAAATTCACAATTTAGAAAACTTCTAAAGCTCTTAGAGCTGGCTCTGCAATGCTCACATTGTGGCTACACATTGATGGCGACCACTGAGCCCTGTGCAGAGCCAATGCTAACAGCCACTGACCTGTGGGGCTGACCTATGCTGATCAGTGTGGGCAGCGGGCCCAGAAATTACTGCCAGTGAACATTCACTAACTTTGCATCTGGTGCCAGGCCAACCCTGAAGATGCACAGGAAATCTATGCTGAATGCTACAGTAAATTGATGGACAGATTAGCAAGGTGTACCACACTTCTGAAGGGGCCAAAGCAGGAGGGTGGTGTGCTTACAGGGCAGTCAAACCCTGGAGGCCCCTGCTGCAGCCCCATCTTCACTAAAACAAATATGATCTCTTCTCATGGCCTCCTGCAAGATGGTCAGGGTACAATGAAGAGGCATTGCTTGGAGGCCAGAGCCCCACTACACACAGGTGGCTACACTGGTGTCTTCTTAAGGGCACATGCATCCCCTTCTGTGAGCTCCCTGGCGGGAGAGGACTCCCCTCTGGGGCAGCCTCTTTCCTCTTCCAAATCATGTTTGAAGCAAGCAGGCTCCTTTGAGGGTACATTGTGTCCTGCCTCAGGAAGATCCTGAGTGACTTCTGAGGAAGTAATGTTCACCATCCAGGGAGGCCCAGATTTAACAGGAAAATATATCAGAATTCAACCTGATGTATACCAGGGGTTGGAAAGAATCCAAGAGAAGGCAGCCTGATGAGGGCTGGGGTGTGTAAGGGCAGTGCTGGTGCAGGGGGAGAAGAGTGCTTGACCACATATGGGGGAATGGGGCAATGAGTAAATAAATGTATTGAGGACAGAGGGAGTCAGGTTTCTTAGAAAAGAGAGGTAGATATACAGAGGGGGAGGTTAAGATGAATCCTGTTGGCAATGAATTGGAAGTATCCAGATAGAGATGTAGAAATATATGTAAATGTAAGCACATATATGCATATAGGTATATGTGTATATGTTCCTAGTTGTGTGTGTGTGTGTGTGTGTGTGTGTGTGTTTTCCCAGCTCTGGGCACTGAGAGGTCCTGAGAGCAGTGACAGCCCAAATGGTGGTGAACACACGGAGCACCCAGATCTTGGTTTCTTGAGACCATGCTCCATTAAGAACTATGACTCCTTTGAGAAAAGGGGAAAGATGATGATCTTGGAACCTCTTATTATGACAGAAAGTAAAGAAAGTGCTTAAAAGAATGCAAGGGACCTGGGAAAAGGACACAGGAACCTGGCTTGATGGGGCCCATTGGCCAAATCTGGAACAATTAAAATAACTGATGATCAAAATAAAATCTGAACATTAAAATAAAAACTAATAACAAATTGCAACCCACTGACTAAAACAGGAATCCATAAATCCATATCGACACAAATGACTAAGTAAAGTGGGGAAAAGAAAGCTGCTCCTTATAGTAGAATGCCAATTAATAAATGTTGGGGCAAAAATGGGGCAGAAAATCTCCATGTGGTCATCATCAGAGTAATAATTAATTCAAGCAAGAAAACATTAATGGATGCTAACAAAGGAGGGCAATATGAGAGATTTCCTCATGTCTCTAAGTATCTCTCCACTGAGGCAAACTGGCTAGATCAACCAAAGGACTTGTATACATGCATATAAGCATAACCAATGGACACAGACACCAGGAGGTGAGGGCATGAATGGGAATGGGGTGGGGGGGCAATGAGGGGATAAGGACACATATGTAATACTTTAATCAATAAGGAAAAAAAAAGAAAAGAAAAAAAAAGTATCTCTCCAGAAAATAGTAATGACAAAGGAAGAAGAAATAATTTTATAGTGGAGAAACCGGGCAGATTTCACCCTAATCAAGTGATCAAAGTCAACCTGGCCTGCACCAGGTAGAGTACACATGGTGTGCCACCACTGGGGTGCACTGGGAGAGCACGGCTGCACTTCTATGGCATTCCAGTCCCAAATACACAACCTGGGTGGAAGCCCCAGGACACATCAGACACCCGCTAACTGAAGGACTTCTCCAAAATAACTGGCCTGTAATCTTCAAGGTCACAAAAGTCAAGGAAAGAATGAGCAACTGTTTCAGATGGAGAGAGAGACATGTGATTAGAATCTGATGTCTTTGCTCTGAAGAACGCATGGAGCCTTCTAGGTAAAGGGATAGAGAAATGTTTATAAAAATTTTCCGTAAGTTTTAGGTCCCCCCCCCGCCCCCCCATTAAGCTAAAACATAAGACAGGCAAACATATAAGAGGCTCACTTTGCAGAGCTGATGTGCAAATCTAATATGACTGGCATGCTGCATCAGGTACCAGGGACCAGGGCTGTATCAGAACCTCTGCTAAAGCAGACTAAGCTGTCCCCTTTCGCAGGGCTACCCCACTCTCAATGCTGCGGGATAAAGGTTTTGGGGGCAGAGAGAGGGAGTGAGGCCATCACTCACAGACCTCAGAGGTGATCTTGAGATTCATAATAGAACTCCATGGCATAAAGGGATCAAGATGTGTGTCTTCAGCTACTGATCCCTAGACCAAAACAGACTTGCAAAGACTAACACTACCCCCACACCTCAGAACACAACTTGCTAAACCAGTGCCCCAGGTACGACCAAAGACCTTTAAAAACCAAGTTCCTCTTCAGAAGTGGGAAGGGGGGTCAATTCCAAACAGTTTGCTTTCAGAGTCAGAACAAATTCAACTGTTTGAAATGGTGCCATCAAATCAATCCTCAAAGTTATAAAAACTAGCCTCTTCCCTTGACATCACTCTCATGCCAGAGTATGAGTTATCTTGCAATGCTTTTGAAGTCGGCAATGAATTTATATAAGGCAGGTTTGGTTACAGAATTAGGGTGGTTAAACTTGCTCATTAAATCTTTTATGAGGAGAAACTTTCAGGAATTATTGGAGTTGGTTCTCCTGCAAAAGACCAAAAAAGGCAGGCTCTATGTTCTTCAGAGGGGAGCAAGCTGTTTTCCTTAAAGTTTTAAAGCCGTGATTAAATATATGCATTTATCCGAACACATCTAAGCCATACTAATTAATGTGGGAATTTAATGACTGAAAAGGGGTCTGGGAAATTACATTTCACATTAGTTATCTTTGGGATGGTAGTCAGTGGGAAAGGGGCAGGCTAATTCTTTAAGTCTATTTATTTCTAATCTGCCTTTTTAAAAATTACATAAATGTATTACTTGTGTAAAATTTTGAAAAATAAGTAATACACCTCTTTCTTTTTTTCAAGAAGGATGTAAAAATCCTTGTAAACAGGCTTACTTACAGAAACAGAAATAAGGGCTTATGAAGCCTCTCTTACACTGGATTCCAAATGTACAAGCTAAACAGTTGGGAAAACATTTAGAAACTGAATTCTGCTTTCAAACTGTCCATTGCTGTTAAGGTGCTATTTTACAATATTAACTGCTTTTCATCCCAGGAAAACCCCCAGTGACTGGCTGTGAAAGGCAAAGGGATGTGAGGGCTCACCTGGTTCTGAGTCAGAATTGCCTGCAGATGGCTCGCAGAAGGTTGATGGCATAAAAACATTGTTTTTTGATACTGTCAGCAAGGAGGTGCAGGCAGGGGGGGAACAAGAGGAAAAACAGAGTGAGTAGGTGGGGCAGACATGAGGGGTTGATCTCCAAGCCCCACTGTGGTGTATGAGGTGGGGGTCAGCATAATGAATAAGGCCTTTAGATACTCCACACACTCTACAGCAGGAAGAGGGGAGTCTCCAGCCTAATGGCCTCTGTCTGATGTCTACCAGTTCACTCTGGTCCACTGTGGTCATTTCTCCTGTCCTCACGCCCCTGGCTTTTCCTTGGCACCCTAGGCCCGTGGGGGCAGCCAGGAGGAAATCGGAGCACACCAGATGTACCAAGTCTTACCTGGGGCTGAGCCTCAGCCCCTGCTCCTTGTCACCAGTCCGGGCTCAAAAGTTGGCTGCACTCCCCACCACCTGTTTTGGATCTTACTGGCACTGCTCACCTTTCCATTTCCTCTGAGGATTGGGAGCTGATTATCTCCCAGTGGTCGGCAAACTGCGGCTCGCGAGCCACATGCGGCTCTTTGGCCCCTTGAGTGTGGCTCTTCCACAAAATACCATGTTCGGGCGCGCACGTACATTGCGATTGAAACTTCGTGGCCCATGCGCAGAAGTCGGTATTTTGTGGAAGAGCCACACTCAAGGGGCCAAAGAGCCACATGTGGTTCGCGAGCCGCAGTTTGCCTACCACTGTCCTAGACCAATGCACTAGAGCAGCGGTTCTCAGCCTGCGGGTCGCGACCCCTTTGGGGGTCGAACGACCCTTTCACAGGGGTCGCCTAAATACAACCTGCATATCAGATATTTACATTACTATTCATAACAGTAGCAAAATTAGTTATGAAGTAGCAACAAAAATCATTTTATGGTTGGGGGTCACCACAACATGAGGAACTGTATTAAAGGGTCGCGGCATTAGGAAGGTTGAGAACCACTGCACTAGAGAGAGAAAATGTTTGGTAGTCCTTTGCCCCTTCAGCCTAGTGCACAATACAAATCACCTCGTCTCTTCTCTGCTACACCTTCCTAATGAGAAAGTGTGGTTCAGCAGTAGACAGTGAACGGAAGGAACACAATCACAGCCAGGAAGTGGATGCTTCCTCATTCCATAGAAACACCTATGCACAAGCGGGCAGAGGCCCTTAAAAAAGGATGTCCACTGCAAACCATCTGGACAGTTCCTTAATGCCTAATGGGCAACTGACAGTGCATCCATTCAGGGGAGGGTCTTATGCAGTCATGAAAAAGGACGTGGCAACGTAAAAAAAAAAAAGCGTTAAGGGAAATAGGTAGGAAATTAAGTGTGTTATAGAGACAACCTTGAGAGGACGCTCACTTTCCGCACCAGCTATTCCTGTAAAGTCTGCATTACTTTTATAAGCAGAAACAAACTTTCCAAGAGTGTCTTTTTCCCTCCTTAAAGTGATATCTTTAAAGTTCACAGTTGTAAATGTTTTATATGAACTTTGCAAGAATGAACTTCAATTTGGGTAACTAGAGATCCTCTCCCAATACACGTGTATCTCTAAGTCATGGTTACAGAGACCAAGATGGGACAATGCCAGAGTGGACCAAGTCCAGATGAGGTGGGGAGGAGAGGGAGCAGCCCTGTGACAGCACTGACCCTCCAAACTACAGGGGAGTCCCCAGGCTCGAGGAGCCCCCACTAAGTAGCCCCAGTGTCTCTCTCTACCCTTGAACCTACCTCTTTTCTGCACCAGACTTTGCATAAGCTGTGGCTGGTCTTCTGGCTTCTGCGCATGTGCTCAGATCATGCCCAGTCCAGATACCTCTACAGGGGTCCAGTCTGGCCCACCTTTCAAGCCTCCACCAAGCCCTTTCCTCAGGGAGCTCAAGGCAATCCACCACCACAGTGTCTATTGGGACCACTCAGCTCACTATGAACCATGTGTGTGTCCTTCTCAATTGGACCACCAAGGTCTAGGCAGAAGGGTCAGGAGAATCCCCCACTTCCAAGCAGCTTTTGGAAGGTGGACATGTGATTAATGGTCAGAGGCCCCAATAGGGCTCAGATAGTCCCTTTATTTCAGAGGGACGATTTTTCTTGGTGCATCTTTCTTATCAGTCCACTAGGTCACACCCCTCCATAAGTGTCACTGATCCCAGACTGGGGTACCTGGTGCCACACCTCTGGCAAGCTCTAACCTTATCGTGACAGAGACCAAGTCTCAGATTGATTCTAACTGGATCTGGGCAGGAGACAGATGAGTGTGAGATGTTGAAGGGGGAACAGTGGGCTTGTAAACATGAATGCTTTTGTCACTCAATAAAGGTCTGTAGCTGTTACCTGACTGTGAAGGTGGGAATTGGGTTAAAGAGGACGTCCTTTCTCGCTTGACAGGAGGGCAGTAATTTCCATCTTCTCTGTCAGAATCTACAGAAAACAATGAGGAGGAGGAGAAAATCAGGCTCCTTCCATTTTTACAATGAAAGACAGTGAAACGTTTTAGAGGTTTCCTCACCTTCACCACCTTCAGGGCTGGAGCCTCCAGCTGACCTCTGAAACGAGAGCACATGTCAGGGTGGAAGAGAGGGCCAAGCTGCCCTCTCACCTAACAGCTCAGAAGTTCCGTAATAAATGGATCCTGAGACACAGTACTGAGGGCCAACTCCCTTAGCTCAGCCACCAAGTCACAGAGGAACTTTCAATCTCACGCTCAGAACTCCCCCATGAACCTTCTGCAGACCAGGCCACGTGCTAAGGAATCCTCTTAATGACTGACAGCACGTTTACAGCACAAGGATCGGTTTCTTTGTTTCTCCACAGGTTACAGCTAACTGGTGTGTCACTCCCAAATTCAAGCATAGTGAAACTTTACCTGGCCAAAACTCATTTTGCCAAGAGCTGAAAAGCGACCCGTTCTCCACTCTGAAGGGCAGCTGGACTGTTTAATTAAAATAAATGGTTGCCTAGCCTTAGCCAGTCTGCCTAAGTGGATAGAGCATCAGCCTGCTGACTGAAGGGTCCTGGGTTCGATTCTGGTCCAGGGCACGAACTTAGGTTGTAGGCTTGATCCCTGGCCTTAGTCAGAGCGTGCTTGGGAGGCAACCAATCGATGTCTCTCTCTCTCTCCCCCTCCCTTCTACTCTCTTTAAAAATCAATGAAAAAATAACCTTTGATTTAGATTAACAATAAAAACAAAAAATAAAAACGGTCGCCTAACACCGGATTGTGGTGGTTTCCATTCCTTGCCCTGGCATATTCCACGGTAAGGAACCTTGTTTCAAGGTAGGCCATTGTTTCCAGAGCAACCTAGAACTTTGATGCCTTGGACCAAAGTCTGCTGCAACGTGCTCAGAATAGAACAATTCATAGACTACAAACCCACTGAAAGATCTCTCTCTCTCTCTCTCTCTCTCTCACACACACACACACACACACACCCTGAAAGAAGGTGGCTGAAGAACCTTTCCTTAAGGTGGCTGAAGAACCTTTCCTTAACAACCTTTAGTTTTAGAATGTGAACAACTAACAATTAAGAGGCCTGAAATGAGTCCCCTCCCAACCCAGGATAACATAATCCCTCCTGTATGTCCCTTCTCAGGGATGTATGCTTCTTGAGAACTAAGCAGCAGAAAGCAAATGTGGAAGATTGAACATCACTCCTGAGGTGCTTAAGAAACAGCAGAGGAGCCAGTTTTTTTAGTTTCAGAAAAGCCCCTAAGACTCATGGTTAGCTAAATGACCACCTGCCTGGAGGAGCTGAGGGATGAAATGAGGTGGTGCATGTGAAAGAGCTGTTCACACGGCAGAGCACGTGTGGAGGCAGTAACCGCACTGAACTAAACTGTAGGCGAGGGAGGAACTGGAGGGACCCTCCTAAAGCTGGGGCAGCTAATTCTTGCTGGTGACCTGACACCCTCCCTGCTTTCCTCCTGAAGCTAGAACCTGACTCTGCACTAGTGAGGACCTCATAAAGTATTTCCAGCTCTGAGGACCACATGCTGTATATTGTTTTTACAATCTTTTAAAAATGTAAACACCACCTTAGCTTGTGGGCAAGAGTGTGTAGACTGGCCCGTCTTGAAGGATGGTGAGAGCTTGGACAGTAAGAAAAGGATTCCAACCTGGACCTTCTCTCCTGTGTGAGTCAATGACTAGGGTTTGAGTCAGAAAAACCAACCTGGGCTTCTTGCTCCAAGTCTGTGTCCTAAGAGCCTTCCTGGAAGTATTTGTGAAGGGAGAGGATGACACTGTCCCCAGGTGTGTCTCAGGGGATTGGGAGCTCACAGGGGACCATCCATCCAAGTGCTAGGGAACACAAACCCTTCTCACAACGGGGCTATTCAATAGTCCTTGGGGCAGCTGTGAACACACCACTGGGCCCAAATGGGGCATGAGTGGAGCGTGAGAGTGCTCAACCCCTCTCTTCAAGGCTTCTAGATCTAGAGAGTTTCTTCCAGCTCTGCCACTGCTTAAATGGGAAACCTTGGGCAAATTATCTCATTTGGAAAATAGGGTGCTGGTGCCTCCCTCACAGGGAAGTGGCACGGGGTCAACTGGATAAATAGGTGGCATTTGCTCAGCCCAACGTGCCAGTCCTTGCTATAGCTCACACCTGGCAGTAGCTTTGCTCTCCCAGCAAGCTCACTTCCACTGGATGTTACACCCTTGGACAGGGCTTGAAAGCTCAGGGACAGGCATGAACAGGTGAGTTGGGATTTGGAATAATGTCCTGGGGGCAGCCAAGAGTTGAAAGGCCAGGTTTGGAGACCCTTGAATGGGGGTTCCTGAGCCCACAGCACTATGATTCAGCAGTGACTGGGGCTGACATCTGATAATAAAGAGCTGAGTTACCATCCCGTGGCTCTGCAGGAACTGGGATCTGCCACTTCCTGGATTGACTTTTGGGATCTGGAAATGACCACCCTCTCTGGGCTCTGTAGACACTGTCTCCTCATCCACTGATGTCCTCCTTTCCCTCAGGTCTCTAAGTTCCCATGTGAGAACAAACCCCTTGGTCCTTTGGCCTCATTGCTCCGTGTCAGGGTCCCCTGCTAGACTCAAAGTTCCAGGAGGGGACTGGCCCTCGGCACCACACAGCAGGAGCTTCCTCAGCATTTGCTCAGTGAAAGACTAGGGAGAAGCAGTGAAGGCCTGTGTTCCTAAGTTATGCACAGGGCAACAGCCAGCAGCCCAGCCAGTGCTCCTGAAAGTTGTTAGGCCCGAGCTGCCTCAGTTGTTGCAGAGGAGATTCCTCTAGCATCTCAATCTCAACAGGCCTCCATACATAACTTTTCGGTTGCCTGCTGGCCATTTATGTTAGTTTCCACCTTGTGAATCTTCCAGGGCTCATTCTTCTATGGATTTCTAATTTCATTCCACTGTGTTTGGAGAAGACTGTATGGTATCAATCCTTTCAGATTTACTGAGACTGGTTTTGTGGCCTAGCAAGGGGTTTACCCTGGAGAAGGTTCCTCATGACTGAGGGGACAGTGCACTCTGCTGGGTCCATCTGTCTGGATATTCTACTGATAACTGAGAGTGCAGAACTGAGGTTTCCAACTCTTATGACTGAATTGTCAATTTCTTCCTTCAGTTCTGCCAATTTTTGCTGCATGTATTTTGGGGCTCTTTTAATGACACCTAAATTTCTTACCTCTTCCAACGACACAGCAAAGCCTCAGGCATCTGGGTCTCCTTAAGAATTTGAATGTTGCCAGGAGCCCCTCCTCAAACCAGGAGCCTCTGGAGATTTAGCCTCACCTCTCAGGGTCCAGGACTGCTTACCAGGACCCTTGGTCCATCCCATACCACTCCTCCTTGCCGTCATACTCCAACCTGTCTCTCTGCTGTTTTCTGAGTATGTCAGCACTGTCCCGCTTCAATGTTCCTTTGCCATGTGCTACTCCCAAGGCCTGGGTGCTTTTCCTGCAGGTCCACTCACTGTGGCCTCCCTGAGACCTTTCCCGATCACCTCCAGAATGAACCTATGCTCATGCCTATCTCACTGCCCAGAAAGTGGGGGCAGCTCCCCTTAACCCCACCCTCCAGCCTCTCTTGGGCCTCTACCCTGTTTTGTGTATCACAATCAGAAATGATCTAATGTGTCTGTCTCTAGCCATGATGAGGCCCTACCCTGTCTGTTATCCTCATAGCTCATATGTGCAACACCCAGGACACAGTACACAAAAAACTCTCAAGTATTTATTGCACAAATGGAGTCCATATCCTCCACTATGGCCCCTTAGGAAACCTGAGAAGAAAAATTGCCTGGCCAAACAAGATTCAGACACTCCTAGACCCCTGATTCCAGGAAACCCTCAAATTTTTGCCCCAAGTCTTTTGAAGAACCACCCACAGGCAGGCGATGGGTCTCTCGGTCCGGAAAAACCTGGAGGCCAAGGCCTGGGAAGGAAAACACAGGAAGACTCCCCGACAAGGAGAACCTTCCAAAAACTGCTGGAACCTCCTGTGGAGTATGAAACACCTGAGAAGCAATGAGGAAACTGACATTGGCAACTCTTCTAAAGAAAAAAAAAATTAGTGCAAGGAAGCAGGAAGACAGAATGTAAGGTGAAGTCATTTCTGCATGCCTTTGGAAATGCTGACTCTTTTAGAAATCCTTCATAGATGTCCATGTGAAGAGCAACCTGCCCTACACCCCGCTGGAGAAGGGCTGAGCTTGCTGTCTGGCAGGAAAAGGTCTGAGGTGCAGCAACTCCCTCTGCCGCGCCCCCCTTCCCCTCAAGGCCAACGCCAGTTCCACCATTTCCCTTGGATGGTAGCCTGGTGTTCTGGACCTCTTCTGTGTCAGAGCAGCCTGGGGGAAACCCTTCATCCCAATCAAGGGAGTGGCTACTCAGGGGTCAGTAGAAAGCAATGCCTGGGACTCCCAACTCCTTGGACCTCAGAAATCTGCAGCCCAAGTTCAAGGATTACCATTACAGAGACTCATATGAGGAGGACTCTAGAGCAGATTTTCAGGATCTGTGCTTCTTAGGGGGAACAGAAGCAGGGTGTAGAAGCCCCATTTTCTACTCTGCCTCTCCCCACAGTAGAATCCATCTGTGGAAGAGTCAGTACCCATTTGGGACATCATGATGAAAATATACCCAACTAACACTGACATAAGGAGGCTGAAGAGAAAGTAGAACAAAGATAACCCTTCAACTGATTTCTCTGGCTTCAGGACGGTGTGAACGAATGAAGCAGGTTCACAAAAATGGAAAAGCCCTCTTAGATGGCGGAGGGGCTGTGGGCTGGTAAGCACCAGCCTGAGAAGAATCAAAGGAGCTGCTCACCGTGTGCTTCTGGGCGGCACCGGCAGCCCTCTCCCCTCAGAAGCCACTGGGTCCTCCAGGGAAGCAGTTCATTCTGGGAGGCTTGTAAGACCCTGTCACCAAGTACAAAATCGGGATAATGTCTAACCCAGGATGGGAACATAGGCACGGGAAGCTTCTGATTTTTGTATAAAGGATTAAATTGTAAAAATTATGATCATTAGATTTATTATTACCCTCCTCCAAAAAAAAACACATGGCTCTCATGAGGCTGCCTGGTGTGGCCTCGAGGGAAACAAAGGTGCCAGGCCAGGGAAGGGGATGGAGCTGGAGATTGTGTTTCAGAACATGAAAGACATAGGCACACAGGAAGTGTGCAGAAATGAAAAGCACTGCCTTCCTGACCTCCCAGAAAAGACCAGAAAGCAAGACTAAGTCAGACAAGTTCTTTCCAGAAAACACTGGATGCCATTTGGCCTGCCTGGGCCTCAGTGACTCCAGCCTGGACTGACCAGTTAGAAAGTCCAGCTGGCTGTGGGATGAAAAATCAAATAACAGCAGGGCCTACTGCACTGGTTCAGTAGCTCAGTTGGTTGGAGCGTTGTCCCACACACCAAAAGGTTGCAGGCTTGCTTCCCAGTTAGGGCACATACCTAGATTGTGGGTCAGATCCCTAGCCAGACCATGTATGGGAGGCAACAGATTGATGTTTCTCTCTCTCTCTCACACATCCTTCTCTCTCTCTCAAAAAAAAAAAAAAAAAAATCAATAAAAACATATCCTTGGGTGAGGATTTTTTTTTAAAAAAAGCAAAGCCTGATCATGTCCTTGTCTTCTTATCAACTATGGGCCAATTTTGTGACTGAGGCAACCAGCTCAGAAATTCTTACTAAAAAAAGCTCACTGAAACAAGAAAAACAGAAGTGGCCTCCGAAGACATGAAGTAGGGTAGGGATGGAACAAAAGTCAAATCCTGTGCAGGAGCTGGAAGATGAGGGAAGCTGTCCAGCCAGGGGGCTCGTTCCAGACACTTTCTAAGCTTCTTGGTGGGTCTCGTAAACATAGTTTAAGCTCATCAGTGCCTTGGCTTGGAGCTTCAGTCCAGCAGACTTCAGCCAGGATCGGGGCAAGCACGAAGCTGCTCGCTTCTCCTGGATAAGAGAACTGAATCTGAAATGTGGTTTGGGTTTCTTCAAACTGCCTGCTGAGAGCCAGGAAGTCTGATATATAGACTTTTTTCTGGTACTGAGTCTTCCATGGCTAGAGTACTGATGAGACTGAAAGATGATCAAGGCCCTTTATAACAATTCAGCGAGCCACTATTTGCCATAAAGAGCTCATGCTTTATAGACCTCCAGGGATTGAGGCACAGAGAAGAGACTGAGCATGATGGATGAGACCTGCTGAGTAACCTGTGGGCGGTTTCCTGAACTCTGGTGTGGTACAGAGCAAGATCCAAATTTGTTCTGATGCAAACGCAATGAGTAACCAAGGGGAAAAATCTCAGCCCGAGAAGCCTGGATCAGGTTTCTCTGCCTTGATTTATGCCTTAATTGACCTAAAAAACAAAGTGAACTTTGCTTGAACATGCCCACTCAGTGAGGAAAGTCAACTGACAGGAGCCATTAGCAACCTGCCATGGTTTCCTCTGCAGACAGCCCCACAGAGCGAGCCCTTGGTGAGCCCTCAGAGCTGTCCCCAACTGACATGATGGTGGTGCTGCTGGGACTTGTGACGGAACAGAGGATTTCTGTAGTCACAAATGCTGAAACAGAGTGTGTGTGTGTGTGTGTGTGTCAGATGCAGGCCTTTACGGTTGTGCTCTCCATTCATAAACCACTCCACCGAGACCTGGCTCCCTCCCATGATGACTTCACAATCCATCCTGAGGTTCCCTGCTAGAACACTTGATCTTGTATTGGCCAGCCTGGGGAACAACTGAATTTCTTGGGATTAGAGTCTCCAACCCAATGTCCACAAGGACAGAGAAGCCACGTTCCTCAGAGATCAACATTTGGACTGGCCACAGGTGGAAGGTGAGGACCCACCAGTCTTACCAAGTGGGCACTAGAAGTGAGAGGGGCCTGAAATAGCCCACATGAATCTGGTAGAGTAGCTGCCATGACACAATTTCTGCAATTTAGCCGTTTGCTCTTCGCAGTTGAAAACCCTCAACCATCCCAGTTGGAGATGCCTCTAAGTTGTGTTTTTCAAACTAGGCAGCAGCAGAAGGCTTCAGAGTCTCTCAGGCAGGTCCACTTCAAAGTCATCTGTTCTTAGTGCCTGAGAACAGATGACCTGCTCGCAAAGGCTGAAGATAAAATAACTAACAATACCTGACTCAGGAAGAGGTCCCAGGAGCTGCTCTGCCCCAACCAAAAAAGTGACCACCTCTTAATTATTGCCCTGCCAGCTCTCGTGTCAGGGCTGTGATGCTAGAACACTCTGGCAGTAAGTGCCTCCTGGCTGGAGTCATTACTGAGCTTCTGAGTACACTTCATTATCCCAAACCCACTTCTATGCCATGAAGGACTGCCTCCCTGCTGTTCCCCACCCATGATAAAAACTACTACTTCTTTAGCCACCACACACTGATTCCTCCAAATTGTCAAAATATGACTCCAATCTCACCTTGGCCGAACACGGCTTCTTCTTGCGCCTATGGTTTGGTGCCTGTAACTGAATTTTAATGGTTTCCTTAAGAACACAGGGTACTGGTGACGTGACATAGAAATTGCTAAATGTCTAGGGTTGTGATGCCCTGGAAGGCTGCCTTGCATTCTGTATGGCAGAGTGGGGTCCTCTGTTTTCTTGTTAAGAGTCATTTTTCAATGTCACGACATTGGGGGTACCTAGAGGATGGAGTTTACAATCCTGAATATATGATGATGTTTACCTTTCCCAACTTATCAAACTCCAAACACTCAAGACATTTCTTGTTCTTGAGAGTTCACAATCTTCTCCACCTATTATCTTCAAAAGCCTTCTTAATACAAAGATAAAGAGCTCAGGGGTTCCCTCTGGATTCAAAGAAGAGTCTTCTCTTCTTCCTGCTTTGATTGAAGACAAGCAGCTCACAGCCTCACCACAGTCCAGACACAATCAGTCTTGCAAAGCAATTTGTGTTAGACATCTCCTCTTCCTACAGATTAAGGAAGCCAGAGCTCCTTGTGTTTCTAAGACACTGAATTGGAAGGCCCAGATTCAGAGAGAGAAAGAAAAAATGGAAGGAAGGAGAAGGGGTCCAATTTGATTTGGAAAGTTCTACCCACTACTCAATTCCTCTTTTGACCCCTCGTGTCTATTTCAGGAAACAGAACTAGCTTTTTGCTATGGGCATATATTTATCCAACTACACAAGTCTCCATGTAAAGGGGACCTAATCTTCTCTGATTTTTCAGCAGCAGGAATTAAAGAGAGCTGGAGAGATCTTGGACACCTTTTAAGTTATCAGCTGCTTATATTCTAAGGTCTGGATCTGAGGGACTCAGAGGGAAAAGGGCCGGTTTGGGTTGGGACCCCTGGGCCATGGAATGGAGGTGGACTTACCCCTGCCAGTTCTCGTGGAAAAGGAGGAAGCTGGGCTTCAGGAGCGCTGGCTGAAGCGCTAGCGGGGGCAGGAGACTCTAGAGCATGCTCACCAGTTGACTCAGGGTGACCTGGGCCATGGTGGGGAGCCTCAGCCTCCCCCTGAGGCTCCACTCCCGAATCCGACAAGTCTTTTTGCTCTGCAGAGGACTGGGAGCAAAAAAGACAATTTTCCTTCAATGTAAATAAAGGCTGCAACATGGGGCAGGGGATGGGGGCAGGGATCGGAGGCCTAGAGATGGCTCCACCTTCAGCAATTCCTGCCCAGGAGGATGGGCCAAGAAAGCAGGCACAAAGTAAAATGAACGTGGACTTCCTGCTGTTTGACTTTACAAGGAGCTTTAAGGTGTGCAGGAAGTCTGAACTTTTGTTTTCAAAAGTGCAAGGCTTGGCATGGAGCTACTCTGCTTATGGGCCATGAGTGAAGAAAAACACTCCTAGTGACAAAAACGGGGACAGTGCCTCTATCAGAGGGGAACAGGGATGATTACAGGTTAATAACACATCTCCTCAAAGATATGATCAGGGAAGCTGCCCTCAGGACCACTTCCATCTGCTAGGAAAGGTGGGGAAGTAGGCCAGGGACACCACACAATCAAGCATAGGCGTCCAGGGCCAAAAGCTTCTGCATCTCACCCTAGTTCTTCCATCAACTTTCAACTTGTTCTGCTTAAACCTGAGATGAAGGAAGAGCTTTTCTCATTTCAGTGAGTGCAGGTGTGAGGTGACTAAAGGACCTGGCAGAGACATGAAAAGCCAGTTTTGCATTGGTGGGAGGGTGGGAGTTTAGCTGGAAGAGGGAGCCCTTTGGCTTGGGATTTCCCCAGGCTCATTCCAAACACCTTGGGCAGGGGCTTATTTGGAAAACAGCCAGGATAAGAGAAAGCTGGCTCCAGAAGTCTTTGTCCTTGAAAGTACAACACCCCTGGCATTCTTTGAGCTGGTTCTTGGGCTTCTGGGGATTGCTTCAGTGGGCTGAGAGCTCTGTGGCCAAGACTCTTTTCTTGAGAAGTGGGTTATAAAGTTGGTGTCCTGCAACAAATGGGCTCCAATTCCCAAACCTCCCGCATGGCATCGCCCACAAGAAGCCCTTTCTCTTACTTTGTGAACTAAATGACCACAGGGCTACCCTATCCAGCCACCCTGCTGACGCTGCCGTGTTTCTTCTGGGTGTGAAGTATCTGAGATCTCTTTAGATAGGTGTTGGGGCTATTTTTTAACATGTGAGCCTTTTGGATGAAAGGTGCTATATAAAAAAGATTTAAGAGAACTTTCAAACATTCTTAGGAAAGCAATAGCAACTCAGTGTTAACTCATGCACACATCTAAAAAGCCACCAAAAGCAACCCTTCCTATCTAGGGAAGATCCACAGACTCAAAGACTTTCCCAAACTGTTCCTCTAACCTTTCTGGGGCACCAAGGTCAGTTTGCCCATTAGTCGGCTGCTACTTTATGGTTAGAAATTTAACACCCACCAAAAGAAAATTAAACCCAGAGCTTTGTGGGAAACTGCCTATCTCTCTAATTAGAACCAGTTGGTTTTTTTTTTTTAATCCCTGCTTTTAAATGTCAGTGCTTCCTTTCAAATGGGAAGTTGAGGTGAACTTAGTATCAATTAATTCATGACATCTGAGCAAAACTGTATTTAACAATTTACTGAGGATTATGAGCAGGTTCTAGCTTGTAAAAGTAGAAACCGCTCTGACCGGTTTGGTTCAGTGGATGGAGCGTCGGCCTGTGGGTCCCGGGTTCGATCCTGGTCAAGGGCATGTACCTTGGTTGCGTGCACCCCCAGTCGGGGGTGTTCAGGAGGCGGCTGATCGATGTTTCTCTCTCATCGATGTTTCTAACTCTCTATCCCTCTCTCTTCCTCTCTGTAAAAAATCAATAAAATATATTAAAAAAAAAAAAGTAGAAACCAAATGTATACAGTATCTACTGAGCTGATTGTTGATGCTTCTACCTTAGTTGCTTTCTTATTTATTCACAATTCTTCTACTCTCATATATATTTTTTAAAAATCTCTGCTTTTAAAACATAAATGTCCTCATAGCATGGTGGACTCAAGATGACCAAAAAGAAATACAAATGTTGTTCCAGCATTTTTCTCCTTGGGTCCGAGTGTTTCTGTTGGACAAGAAAGTAAGCTCTAAAGAACCAAGATAGGACCTGTAGTTTTTCAACATGTTTATTAAAATTAGACATCAGATCCAGACCCTAGATCATATATCCTAAACTATATGTGGCTGACAAAAATAACAAACAAAATAAAAACATGCACATAGGGTATACTTGTTACACCAACAATAAGCTTCAAAACTAGGTCTAAACATACTATACTGCATTTTCAGCAATAGCGGACTTTCTGCTCATAAGCATTTCTGTTACTGCTTTCTGTCTTGTTACCAAATGGGCATTATCTTGCCAGTGCAACCGCAATACCACCCCCCTTCGGATTAACAAATGTTTGGAAGATAAACTTACTGAAAGAAACATTAAAAAAAAGTTTTATTGATTTTAGAGAGAGAGGAAGAAAGAGGGAGGGAGAGAAACATTGATATGAGAGAGAAATATCAATTGGTTGCCTCAAGTATGCATGGAACCCGCACCCTGGGCATGTGCCCTAACCGAGAATTGAACAAAAGACCTTTCGGTGCATGGTACAGGGGACAACGCTCAACCAACTTAGCCACACCGGCCAGGGCTGAAAGAAACACTTAATCATCACATACAATAAGACAACCTACTAAATGAGATTCAAATTCTCTACACATTAAAAAGAAAAAAAAATTGCATCCATTCAAGGCAGTTAATAAAAGGTTTTGTTTTTGCTTTAAAAACACAAATGCATGTAGCCCTGGCCAGTGTGGCTCAGTTGGTCATCCTGTACACTGAAAGAATGCAGTTAGATTTTAGGTCAGGGCACCTATTTAGATTGTAGGTTCAGTCCCAGGTTGGGGTCCCAGGTTGGGGCAAGTATAAGAGGAAACCAATCAATGTTTTTTTTCCCTCTCTCAAATCAATAAACATATCCTTGGGTGAGGCTTAAAATTTAAAAAACAAACAACTCATTAAGAAAACCACACAAATGCATGTAAACACAAGCATTTTGTGAAGAGCACCACCTTGAGGAAGCCTGGAGACATGGAAGGAAGTAAAGACAATTCTTGCGCATTAGGACTGGAGTTCAGACTGTGGAAGGCTTTCTCTAACTGGGACAATAGGAGGATTTGACAACTTGACCTGTGTGCCACCAGCAGGCCACTAATACCAATTTGTAGTTTGCTATGAACACACGGACCATCAATGGAACTGATATAAAATGTTGTGTGGCTTTACTACCAAACAAAAACACCTAGCTAGCAGCTTATTTGTTTTTAAAATTTCAAATCTTTTATCCCAACAATAGTTGGGCCTGTGGTGTGCTCTCCTTTGAACGGGGTTGAGGGACAGGGGCTCTTTGAAACACACCCATTGGATGGTTTAGAGACTGTTTACTGACAAGGAAGTTAATGGCCTCACAGTGACAATGGGAATACTTGATCTATGTGGATCAAGAAGTGGCTCAAAAAATAGCTATAAGGGACATTTTGGTGACAATTAGGACAGATTATATATTGGAGGAGACTTCTGAATGGTCATTTTCTTATGGGTGACAATGACACTGGGGCCATGGAGAGGAATGACACACTATTCCTAGGAAACACCTGCAGAAGTATTTAGAGAGGAACATCAGATGGGAGCAAATTACAGTTGAGTGCTTTCAGCATTTATGACAAAGATGTTAACAGTGAAGCCAGGTGAAGAAAACCTGTGTCTTCAGTACTGTTCTTCCATCTTATCTGATAATTTGAAAATTTCAAAATAAAACGTCGAAGAGAAAGAGGATAAGAGTGTGCTCAGAAAAAAGCAGCCCCAACAGTCTTTTCCCAGTTCTGCTTTTGCAGTATGAGAAGGGAAAGGGGCAGAAAGAAAGAATGAAACTGGAAGACTCTCAAACTCTTACTTTGGCAAGAAGTCTTGTGGATGATCCTTGAAGACCTGCCCTTCCGTCTTTCTTGAAATGGGAAGTTAAGGGGAAACAAAGCTACCTGATTACTGTTTACTTTCCACCTTACTCTTGTGCTGTCATAAACGATAGAGAAAGAAAAGATTCTGAGTCCATTTAGCCACTATCTATCTACCTGACAGCTCAGAAAGCACCCCTAAAGGACAGTTACAAAGGCTTCTCCAGCTTCTGCTGTTAAACAGAGAGGTTTCCCACACCCTTTCGATGATCTTGGGACAGAAATGGAGAGCTGAATTCTGAAAAGCTGCAGATCAGTTATTTTTAGAAGCCCATTAGTGTTGGCTCTGAGTCAGTATTGTGATAAGAACTACATTTGTATATTTTAAGTTGATGATGACCATCTTCCTAGCTACTCTTCTGGTTCAGTCATCCATTTACATAATTTACCTCAACTTTATGAAGACAATACATGTAAGTAATCCTTTGAATTACAAAGCAACAGAACCAGAAGGAAAGGGGAGTGGGAGGAGGTAGAAGAGGATAAATGGTGATAAAAGGAGACTTGCCTTGGTGTGGTGAACATATACAATATACAGATGATGTATTATAGAATTGTACAACTGAAACCTATATAATTTTATTAACCAATGTCATCCCAATAAATTCAATAAAAAAGTAAAAAAAACTAACTAAACTAAAAAAACAAAGCAAAAACCACCTCAACTGTGAAAACAGTAATAAAACAGGAATTAATTTTAAAAGCATTTTAAATTCAGCCAAACATTTATTACATTTTAGTTTTTCATCCTGCCAGCTGTCCAAAAGTCCTCAGGTTTAAAGATCTATTAATTCCTAGTGCTCATTTTAAATTCAGGGTCAGCAAATTTTTCTGTAAAGGGCCAGAAACTAAATATTTTTGACTTTGCAGGCCATGCGTCTGGGTCCAAATTACTTCACTCTGTTGTTACAGTGTGAAATCTGCCTCAGTAACTATGAAGGGGATAGGCATGGCTGTGTACCAATAAAACTTTATTTACAAAAATAAGCAGTGGTGCCAAGCCTTAGTTTGCTGACCCCCATTTTAAGCTAAAAATGATTCAAATGATGGTCGCAATAAAACTCAAAATGCTAGAAAACCCCGACTTAATGAAAAACCTCAGAAGTGACTACATCTAAAAGAGAAATCAAATACATCCATTTCTAAAAAGCTACAGGAAACACATCAGCCTTTCAGTGACTGACCCTTTTCCAAAGGAGGGATGATTAAAAACACAGGTAAGTAAACTGTATGTATGTGTCAGGGCCCAGGGGAGAGGAGACAGCAGAGGTTGATGTATCTTGAAAATACCACCTGGAAAGTCAAAACAAAATGGGAAGAACATTTCCTCAGGTTTGGCTATTCTTTCTTCAGCAAAGAATTAACAATGGGGATGTTTAATGTGAGAACAAGCCCTAGAAGATAAAACCCTGCCAAAACAGAAGGCTCCAGCGCAAGTGGGTGTGGGTTTAGGGCCCCTCTCCCTCCTGTCCCCTCAGTACATAAGCTTTCTTCCTGGCATAGCACCTAAATGTTTTCTAGGAAACTGGGCTGCACAGAAAGAAAAGTCTGGCCTCTCTTCTCAGACCAAAGGACAAAGTCTACAAAGCAGTAGCTGGACTGCTGGCCCAACCTCTGAGCCGGCCATCTTGCTGAGGAACTGGGGATCCGCCAGAGCACCCGGCCTGTGGATCCCCAGCCCTGAGCCAATTCTCAAATTCTCTTCTTATCAACAAGATTACAAATGGATTTCAGAACACACTTGGTCTCTCTGAAATCTTGCCATGGGCATTAAATTATCTGTTGTCCTGGGCCCTGGGTGGGGCGGGATCATCCATGTTTTTGACAAATAGAGGGAGTCCTCACATCAGCTTGGGAAGCATCGCCATAAAACATCAACTAACTTTGGACACAATCCCAACCTTCCATACTGATTTATCAGGTAAGGATATAAAACCTGTGACTTCAAGACAAACAACATGCAAAGGTAGGTATGCAACTGATGTACCAATCAGGCCTTTGACAGGCTGCCAGCTCATCACTATGCATTAGACAAGGTATTTCCAACAATGTGACCAAGACATTTAAAATCTAAGAAGAGGAAGCAACCCAACAAAGATGGATGGTAAATATACAATCCAAGTCAGCTAATAATTATTCTAAATGCATTTATGCCTTGTTGGTTGGCGCCAAAAAATGTCTCTAAAATCTTTAAAGGTCCTGTTTTTCCTCTGTAACCACCATTGCTCTCTCTCCTTCTAGCTTCCCCTCCCCCCACTTTCTCTCCCACCTTGTCCCTCCTTCTCTCCCTCCTCTCCGTCCTTCTACCTTTTTTCTCCTACTAATTTTCCTAATGTACAGTATTTCTAAATCAAATCATTAGGAATGAGGAGAAAGTTTTCTACCACCGTTTTTTAAAGCAGGGTCTCTGAACCCTTTCCACACACACCTATCTCAACCATTCGCCATGGTAACCTAAAGCCACTGGACCTTTTACCTTCAAGCTCAATGTGAAGGCTTAAAGGGCAGAAGTCTCCTTTGCTATGTGACCTGGGAAGAGAGAGCTCTAGGAGAAAACAAATGTGAAGAGAGAACATACCAGCCCCTTACCTTTTGTCCTTTATCCTTCTGAAACACAAAGACAGGCGGAGCAATGGCAGGTTTTTCTGCAAAAAGAAAAATTGGTGTTTTTCCCCCCAACACTATTTCATACAGTAAACAAAGCTATAATTTTAAGTTAAAAATAAAAAACAAACCCATATAAAACTAGTAACCCCAAAGGACATCAAATCACCTAGAAAATACTTTCATTACGAGGAGGTGTGGGGTTTCAGTTTGTGACAATTCAACACTTAATGGTAGGATACGTATGCATATTATACACCAATAAAAAGGCTTTAAGACTCACTTAGGCCTGATCAAGGGAGAGCGGTGGGGAGTGTGGTGAGCTGCAATACATTGGAGGTGGCAGCTATTCAATGCCACCAACTGTGGTTCTGAAGGAATTCAGCTCAGGTAAGTCAAATCTTTATATGGCATCTCCTGAATTTCAAATGCTGGAGACCAGTTTAGGGTTGGTTATTTTTTTTTAATCTGCAGGCCAGCTGAGGCCAGGGGGCAACCAGTTTGCAATCTCTGTCCACAGCTCATGCTTGTTGGAGAACCCCGGCCCACATTCCACCTGGTTCTCTAAGTGAGCAGCCATTAACAAAAAAAGAATTTATGGAGTTGTAAAAGTCTGAGAGTCCATCTTGCATGTCTGCTGAAGGAAAAGACCCTTTGGGGTGCCCTGTCAGGGCTATGCCGCCTATTTTCTCAGGCAACACCATGTATCTCCTATCCAGGGGCAGCCCAGGAAGCCTCTGCGGCCAGCTAGGGGATTGTAACCGAGGACCACCTTAACCCATGGGGGAGGCCCCTCATCGTCTTGGACCTGGGCATGTGGCTCTGGGTGTGCTCATGAACCCTGTGGGGTGTGTTTAGGGTCTCCTTCAGCATCCAAGGGCCGAGAGAGGAGGGAGGCCAGGGGAGTCATGAATTTGGGGAGCATCTGCACAGTCCTGCTGTCAGAGCCTCCAGTCATAGGAGACTTAGATTAACCAGGAACCTACATTCACACAGCTTTGCCCCAGCAGGACTGCTAGGTAGGAGGGGGACATAGTTTGCAGTTCATAAGAGTGCTCATATAGGGAGCTGGTAGAGTGTCTGGTCTAGAGTGTTAGGGAAATATCACTGAGATGAGGTTGCTGTGCTGAAGTCTCAAGGAGAAAAGCCTGGCAGGGAGAGTGGCAGGTGTGAAGGCACGGAGCCCAGGGGCAGATGGTGGCCATGCCAAGGATTTGGGAAGTGGTGCAAAAGGAGTGGGGGAGACATGGTGGTTGGTTTAGGTTTAAAATGAGAAGTGTGGGGAAGAGGCCATGTGAAGAGACCAGTTAGGAGGTGACAGCGATTACCCACAATAGAAATGAGGTGAAGAGGAAGTTTGAGGAGGAAAAAGGACAAGACCGAGACAAAAATCAAACGGATCCTGTTCCACTCCCCCTCTCTTCAAACTCCCCCTTCTTGGAGAAGCAGGACAGGCCCCAGTCTTCACTTTGAGGCAATGGCCCACTGATGGTGACCATTCCCTCTGCCGCGCTCACTGAAGCTGTACCATAACCGAGTTAGATTCACCACAACAGTCCTCACTGTGCACAGCCCACAATGGACACGGGTGAATGACATGTGTGAGACCAAAGTGCTAAAGGGAGGAGAGTAAGGGTCACCATCAAGGTTTCCATGCTACCCTAAGCAGCCATCTCCTGGCACAGTGCATAGTTGCTGCCTGACAAACCAGGATGGGTGGATGAGTGAATGAATGGACAGGCCTATGCTAGACAATAAATGACAGCAAAGAAATGCTGGAGGGACTCTGGGGATGGCAGCAGCTTATTTACACTTGTCTACTACGGGAAATCCCAGAGACGTTCTGGTGCTGCCCTATAAACCACAAACCCAGCATGAAGGGCTGGAGGTCCAGGCCCCCGCCTTGCTTCTGTCTTCAACTCTTGGCCAGCAACAAGGCACTGAGGTGCACAGGGAGAAGCCAGGGTTTTGGCCAGCCCAGCACCCCAACCCCTCATTTTATTCAGGGAAGCACTCCTCCCCCACCTCTGTGTTTCAGATGGAGCCTAGTCCTGGCTCCAGGCCTAAGAAGTACTGCAGGCCCTTACCCCAGGGGACACTGTGACCCTTGAATAAGGCCAGGCTGCTGATGGTGAATGAGATTCAGGTCCAGGAATTTTGTTGGAGCTACTGGGGAAGGGGAGCTCTCTCTCTGCTGAGCTGGTGGGAGGTAATCCTGTCATCAAAAGGGACCTTAGACTAGAGCCAATCCAACAGGAAGCAGGGGAGGAAACTGAATCCCATCGCTGGAGGCCCAGGGTCCAGCCGGCCCACAGCTAACCCCACCCCCAAGACTTTTCAGCTAAGTCAACAGAAGCTGATTTTTGTGTAAGGCACCCTGAGCTTGATTTCTGCCCCTTGTCTCCAACAGCCTCCAGCCTGAGAGGTTGCAGACTTCACTAAACTCACGCTATACTTCCTAGGAGAAACCTTGGACTGGCCTCACAGCAGAAATCAACAGCTGATACACTATGTATTTATGGGTTTATGGTCTCTTTCCCCTACTAAGATGTCAACTCTAGGAGACTGGAGACTGCCGGTTCCCCCCCTGTCCTGTGGTGTGAGAACATTACTTGACAACCAGAAGGGATTCAACAAATATCTGATGAAGGGATGAGCAAGGGGAGAGGGCACTACAGAAAACGACTGCCAGGCTAGATGAAGAGAGACTAGATGAAGAGAGAACCATTTGGACAGCAGAGGAAGAACTTTCTGATCTGCAGGCACATAGGAGGGTAACTGCGGGCAGCCTGGGACAGGACAGGACAGGACCATGTGGCAGGGTCCAGGCATTAGCTGGGAGAGGTCCCATCTGAAGAACAATTCTGTACTGCAACTGGCATGTTGCTAAGCTGGAGCAGTGAGAGGTTATGGAGGGGACCATGGGGCCTGAGCTCTGAAATCAGCCACCCAAAGAACAGGATCACCAGCTGAGATCCAAACAGATCCACCCTTGCCACCACCATCTCAGTTCAGACCTTTTTTGTCTCTATTTTTACCCCCTTAAGTCCGGCTTTTGCAGAGCAGCCAGAACCATGGTGTGAAACACATGCTTAAAACTCTGCAGTGCCCTCCCAGACTAGGGTTGGAGCTCCTTCAAACAGGCCATCCCCACCTGACCATTACTGTGGCACTGTCCCTTGTACAACCCATGCTTCTGTCACACTTCTGGACTTCTGCCTGATTTAGTCCCTCCACCTAGAACACTATTCTCACTTTCTCTTCCCTTAGTCAACACTCATTCATGTATAGATACCATCTCCTTCAGGAAGCCCCTAATTTGAACTGTGCTCCCAAAGCATGCTCTGGTTTATATCCTGCATTGATCCTACCTAGGCTACTTGTCAAGGAGACTGGGAGACTACTGACACAGCATCCAAAACAGCTCTGCATCCCCAGCCTGCCACCAATGTACATCATATAAGCATCATTCAATAAATGTTTGAACTAAACTCCCTCTGTACTTCTTCATGTGCATAACACTAGCTGCTATGTAATCACAAATATCTATTAAACCCTTATTCCATGCAAGGCATCACGGGAAAAATGGGAACAAGCTGGGGGCAGAAAACTTTAGGGTAAAACACCCAATTTAAAGGGAGGAGTGTGTTTGTATACAAGGCCCGGAGCTTGCAGTGGGTTATTTATCTGCTCACTGGCAGCATCTACCCCAGGAATATAAACTCCGCATAAGTGAGGCCTTTGTTGTGTTCATATCCTTATCTTTAGAGCCACACATGAAATATATGCTCAATAAGCAGTTACAGAGTAAATGAAATGTCCTTCATTGTCCCCATGGCTACGACTGGGGAAGTGGCAAGTGCTTTGGGAGCCCACCTGGGGTCCCCCTGGGACCTCCCACTGAGGGTAGGTTTGGCAGTCATGACAAACACAACCACTGTACTAAAACGTAACAATGAACTTTAGCCAGTCAGCTCTCCACCAAACAAAGCATCAGAGTTACAAATATTTCATTTCCACTCAGCTCCAATAAGACCAGAAGTCCATAAATTGCAAATTAGTACTGATAGTACAAAATAACGATACGCACCCCTTCCAAGTAGGATGGTTCTGCACTTATCAGAGTAGTCACAGATGGTTTTTAAAAACTGTCCCCCATCACCAAACAGTTCCTGGTTGTCAAGCAATGAGGCTTCTATGATCTGCTTGAACTCCTAGGCCAGACACTAGAAATTTCTAGAGACCCAGGCCACCACAAAGACCTAAGATATTACAATGTTAATCACATGCAGACGATTCAATCCAGATTCTGCCAACCAGATGTTTTTGTTCTGTGAGATGCTCCCTGATGAAATTAGTTTGTAAAAAAGCAGCTCAGCCGGAGCATTGGCTTAACACTTCAGCACAGGAAGGGTTAAGAAAATAAAGGGTGGCCCTAGCCCCGTGGTTGGCAAACTGTGGCTCTCGAGCCACATGCAGCTCTTTGGCCCCTTGAGTGTGGCTCTTCCACAAAATACCAAGTGCAGGCGCGCATGTACAGTGCGATTGAAACTTCGTGGCCCATGCGCAGAAGTCGGTATTTTGTGGAAGAGCCACACTCAAGGGGCCAAAGAGCCACATGTGGCTCGGCGAGCCACAGTATGCCGAGCCGCGATGGAGAAATATCCTCAGGTGAGGGAAAAAAAATCCCTAGCTGGTTTGGCTCAGTGGCTAGAGCGTCGGCCTGTGAACTGAAGGGTACCAGGTTAGATTCTGGTCAAGGGTACATGACTTGGTTGTAGGCTCAATCTCCAGTGGGAGGCATGCAGGAGGCAGCCGATCAATGATTCTCTCATCATTGATGTTTCTATCTCTCTCTATCTCTCCCTTCCTCTTGGAAATGAATAAAAATAAAAAATTAATAAAAAAAAGAAAACCAACAATGCCCTGGCTGGTGTGCACAATCGTTAGAGCTTTGGCTCGGGCAGAGGTTCGATTCCTGGTCAAGGGCATGCATCTGGGTTGCAGGTTTGATTCCCAGCTAGGCGCCATGTGGGAGGCA